ATGAAAGTCATTTTATAATAGGAAATTCAAAAAGTGGGGCTAATGATCCAAAATAAATAATTAGGTGCGGTCCAAATCCAATACTCGAAAGGTCCGGATTCGGACGCGGTCCGCCAGTTGAGTAGCCCTGTTCTAGACGACAGAAGGCGTAATATTAAATATGCCACTTAATTTACTGAAATTTGTCAACCGTGTTAAACTTACTGTTAAACGATGAAAGATTCGTGTACACTGCAAAGGGAAAACAATGTAAATGACACTTCAGTTGCAAAGTTTTTATTTTATAGTCAGGTCGTATTACAAAATTTTCAGTAATGATATTTTCAAACATTCGTGTAAATTTTAGAAACATTGCATTGCCGTTTTCCAACACGATTTTAAACATGAGCACAAGAACGTCAAATAACTATAATTTGGTGGGGTTTAAGAGAATTATCCCTTGTCAAAATAAAGTGAAACTAGACAGAAATATTAAAAATAATTTTAGGGGAATACTTGACAAAAATACTGTTTAAGGAAAGAAACTTACCGCAAAATTGCGATATATTATAGGAGAACGACCACTTTTAGTTTCGTTTTTAAAGGTTTGGATTTACGCAATATTAAATTAATCCGGCTAATTTATCATTTCAACACGTTAGACAAAACATTTCGTTTCTAAATTGACAATTGGCATTCTGACTGGTATGCGGCTTTCAACTTTTTTGATTATGATATTCATTAATCATTACGTCAATTCAATTTAATTTTGGAAAAATCAACTTACGTCAGGATTTTACTATAATCTAATGGCTCAACTTCTTGTGAAATATGCAGACCATAACAATTTTCCGATTTGATTAAAATAAAAGCTCAAGTGGTTGGCGTTTTTCACGGTTGGCCCATTTCTGATTGTACGCAAAAGCCCCGCGTTTCTAAAAGCCGGCGTTGGTAATAGTTTATAATTGGAATTAACAATGTTGTAAAGGAACTTCGATGACCGATGGAAATTCCAACTCATTCTTAATCGAATATGAAAAAGTCCATAACGCAAGTTCATACGAGCTTCCAATTGGTATAATTAATCATAGTTTAGATTTTAAGAGGCTATGCTAAACAGTCGATTTTGCTTTCAGTCAAAATAAACCTATTGCTTACGGAAATCTTCGACGGGGTTGTCGGATCGGGTTATGTTTAGTAAACAGCTATCAAACCTGATGATTGAACATTCCGGTTTTAAAAAATTTCGACGCAAAACTTTTTTTGACCAAAGTGCGTTGCGTAATGCTATATTAAATGAAACTTGATTTAAGTTTTGAAAATTATTTTTATTTGCCAATTTTTTTTCGCAGTGGGGAAATACTTGGAGTATATAAAATGGAAGACCTAGAATATTTTCTCACTAGAAGCGTCGAGTTTATAAGCGATCGTTCTCACCGATCGCACTCATTCCGTTCGCGTGCATCGTATGATTATCACGCCAAATACTATTTAGTGCAGGCTTCTTGGTACTTCCTGATGATAATAAGTATATAGTCAGTATAGGATAAAGTCTAACTGTAGTGTAGCATATGGTGTAAGCCTTTTGAGGTATTATTAAAATCCTTCCATAGTACACATTCAGAAGTCTAAATACTTGCCGTTCCTTGCGTAGATTGACGATGAGTCATTGCTCGTTTGCGACGGTCTTAAATACCTGAGGTCTTATTATTTGACTTTTCTGTACAATCAGTATTTAATTTACTACAGCTTTCTTACCGTTGGAAAAGTCAATGCGGGTTTTTTTGAGATGTGGAATTATATTTACAGCTAATCATATTTAATATTTTACTATGATTTTAATTGCGTATCATCAGTTGTTTGTCAAAATATATAGGTCCAATACATTTATTAGGATGGCGTGACAAAAAAACAAACTCGTTTTTTGTTCATTTTATCGTGGCGTGGCGTGACAAAAAATTAATAAAACTTGTTTTCTGTTAATTTTACCTTCCACGGGCTGAGTCAGATTTAGTAACGATTTTTACTAGTAACTTTGCGAGCAAAATATTTACAAACTATTGTTTTACTAAAAATGCTTTTACAAAACATCTTTATTGAAGGCGCCTTACTCATTGCACGAATTTGAATCGATGCACGATGTATTTTTCTTTGTACTCTCTTATGATAATTACCGTTAGTACAAGCATGATAGGTTGCGCATTTCCGATTATCGTGCATGAATGTAACAAACACACTGTGAACAAGCGTATCGTCCTTGGCTCATTGTTGATCTCGGCTGATTCATAATATTTCAATGTTATATATATATAGTAAACAAATATCGGTTAATGATATAGATCTATAAGAACACAAGGTAATTGTGCATGAGCGAGTGATGTTCAACTAGCTTATGATAAGACGTTTCTCGACCAAGGTTTTATTAATTGTATTCGGTAATAAGTATTCTGGTAAGTAAATAAAAATATACTTTTAGTTAGGACTCAATGCACTTACGTTTCGACTACAAATAGCTTCAAATGATGTTCGTTCACCATGTGATGTTCAGAATGATAAAATGTAAAAATTTGGTGAGCGTTTATTAGGCAGCTAGGTTATGTAGAGTGCTATTCAAAGTTTTTACAAATTATATGATTCGGAATTTTTCTTTACCCTTTTTGTTTATGACAAAATTTAAATGTAAAATCCAGTAATTGCCAAAGCCAACATATTGATCATGTATGCAATTCAAACCTTTGCGAATTTTCTGACTCCTAATTTAAAAAAATATGTATATTAACTTTTTTGTTTTTTTCAAATTTTCATGCCGAGCGGTAATATTGAAAGTTCGAGATATCAAATTCGGAGCATTACTGCAGACATATACTACAATTTATACTTACTTATAATTAAACTTATCTTTGGCGTATCATTCATGCTGTACACCAGGAAGTTGCTTAGTATGTGTTATGGCTAATTATCTATTTTAAAACTTGTGTGTCATGTACGAATCAAATGTGATTTTACTATGGAACGTCATCACACCAGTGCCCATTCGATCATTCTGCATTTTAAATGATTTTTTAGGGTTTTCACTTGCTTTTATCTCCGAATAAAGCACTTTACAAGCAGATCCAGATTTGTAAGATAAGTGAGATGGCGGTGGCATATTCGCAAGCCGGGAAGGCCTCTAACTTGCTGCGCGGAAAATTAGAAAAAATAGAAAAGAACACAACATTTTAATACCTACGCAGTGCGCGGCAGAACGAACGAAAGTAATGCGCGGGGATTCTCGACCAGCTTAGAGGGAACGGTGCCTGCGAGGCAATTTGCGTCATTTGCAGTGACGCATAAATTTTACGCTTTTTCCGACATCATTTTGCTCTATTCTCGAACGATTTAATGATAACTTAATTTTCCTGGCTTGCTATCAATAATTCTTTCACCAAATAAACTAACCGAGATAGATAAAAATGCGCGCTTGTATACCCTGAATAACTTTGACAACAAAGTAAGTCTGTAGAGAGATTCTTTAAGATATCATTTGATATCAGTGGCCGCTTTTATTTAGCCTTGTTCGGGACAAAATGCACGATTAAGCGTCGTAATACGTCATTATAAAAAAAATAAATTTGGCCTTCCCAATAATTTTGGACTGGCTACGCTCTCGTTTCGCATATATCTAAATATAGATTTCCTATGAAGTTTAGGTTCAACGCTTTAACCAATCTTCGTATTCACAAATAGTTATCAATGAACCCCTATTCATAACAGAACATGTATGATTTAATAGCATTTCCAGGTAAACGTTTATCATGCTATTTTACATGGCCATAGTGTCACGTATGAATGGGTCGAAGTTTTCTCCTCTCGTGTAAAGGAAATATATAGCATTCCACGGATGCAAGATTAAATTACAGACAGTGGGATACGTTCCGCCTAATTTGCTGCCTAACTATATTATTACGAGCACAAGAGCATACTAATAATACTTCAAAAAGGTTCTGAACCATCGCACATATCTCTATTGTCTGCGGTTCTAACCAAAACAAAATGTATGAGTTTTCAGAAAAATATATATCCATATGTCAAGCTAGGCCTGACTTACGCAAAACAGGCTATTCAAATGTTAAAATACTTTGCTATGATTATATACATATAGCGATAAACAAATATTTTCACTCTAACAAACACAAATTTTCGAAGCAAATACTTCGCCTCATCCAAGACACGCGAAAAAAACATTAGCATGGCCACTACGTTCACGCTATTCATATTGAAACAAAAAGCAACAGGATACGAATTCGCGCGATGGGCATGAAACTACCTAGAATATTTATAACCTGATAATTATTTAATTATAATGTTTGTCGGATTTACAACTTAATTTCGGTAACTGAATCAACATACTTTGTATTGCAAGTGTGCTTTCTTGGTGGTACATTTGTTTCTGTGCGCCACGCTTTAGAGTTAGACCTTGTTACGTACTTATATCTAAGGTATAATTGGATTAGGAAGAGTGCAATAAATAACGCATCTATTACTCGTTGCCGTAGCTTACTCGTTTACTTACAGGAAGTGAATGAGTGATAAATGCAGCTTTGTTGCAATGTTGAAAATGTTCAGTAAGTTAATAAACATACTCGTATTTGTGGCCGACAGTTAAAATATGTTCATTTTCGTCAACTATAGTCAATAGAAAAATCTCTAAGATTCGTCGATGCGCGTAAAAGACTTATTGTGTAAATATTATGCACATTAATATATATACATTTTTTTTAAATTGCGGCTGGAACTAATATTTGCAAAACAAAATATTGGTAACTGATATCCGGAAAAATTCTGAGATACTTAGAGAGCCACTGCTGTAACAATAGGTTATAACAACATCCTTCGTGATATGAGTTCGAATTCCGTTCTCATTCTGTCGTTCATCATCATGAAAGTAAAACAATACGAAACTCTTGAATGAGAGATTACTAATTTCATTGTATGATTTACCATTTAACTTATTTCAAATAACTCAATTTCTGATCAATTGCAGAATATTAATCTTATATCAATATGTTATTGAAAAACCTGTTAGCTCTTATGATCGTTGCCACAGCCTGTGAGGCGGTATCGGTCATTGATATGGAGGTCGGGAAAACGTTTTCTACAGGTATGTGGTTAATAAGCATCCGCGGTGCAATTATATTGATATTCAGTACAGCCTTTTAAGCAAATGTTGAAATAGACAGATTTTTTGAATGACAAACATTTTTATTTGTTAAATTTAACACCTATTTTTTTTTAAATGTAACAAAATACCATGGATTGTGGTCATGTTAGTGTGACTATTTATTTTTAGGTGCAGAAGTTTATAATTGCACTGAACTTGGACAAAAGAATATAACTGCGTATATTGGATGGCCGTTTCATTTTTCTTGTTTGGATCTAACAAAAAACTTTTACAGTGCCGTTTTTCCGGAGTATGTTACAAAATACCAACACGAGAATATTACCGTGAGTATTGAAATTGATGCACTATGTTCAATATATTTTTCTAAATCTTTTTATTTCAACCAATTAGTTGCTTGTATGATAGTTTAGAATTTAGATTCATAAAAAGCTTGGTGACGAAACCATTTATAGTGTAACAAAACAACAATATAGAACGCATATCCTTGAAATAATGTTAAAATTGCACTTGCCGACAGTTTCAAAATATTTTTGCAACTAATTTTAGTGCTCTGTTTACGACGATAACGCAATATCGTTGTGGAATGAAACTGCAACTGCAAAAGCAATGAAAACGAAATCTGGTGTTGTGTACAATAGCTTTGACGTTACAAGAGGACAAGTATCAAATTATCGGCTGATTTTACGGGTAGGCCTATAGACGATTTTATTTGTTTGAATTTGAGTGATTCTCTAGCGCCACCACACGACGTTGTTGAAGAATTTGGTTTTTCAAAACGTTTGATATATGCACCACGGTGGCCTTGGAAATTCAAAGATAATAAAAATTTGCGTATACTCAAAGTTTATTTTTAGGCTGACTACATAAAATTAGTAAATTAGCTTTACCACATCAACCTTGAAGTTTGCAAGTTAGATTTATTCAATTTTATTGTTATCCCGATTTACAGGCGCCGTCGGCAAATTACTGTGCATACGAGGACATTTTGTTTCATCCTAAACACTCTTCAGAGAACTACAGCTGTCAAAATTTGAGTCAAGAAATCGGAACAATTAAAAAGAAGCTTAAAATTGGAAATGTATACAGAATGACGTGCCAGCGTGAGTACCTTGTGTACAGTATCTTCTTCATTATTGGGTTACTAGAAACCTAGCCAGAACGTGCAAAAACAGGGGAAACCGTCAAAAAGCACTAGTATGAGTGAGCACTAGTGCTTTTTGACGGTTTTTCACTGTTTTTGCACGATTTGTCAAGGTTTCTAATACCACAATAATGAAGAAGATACTGTACTGTATTTTGATGCGTGATTGATTATCAGTCGTTTTAAAATAAATGCAAATTAAGGTTTTCTTTCTACTTTATTTATGCATGCCGACCTAAAGAAAATGTGCTGTGGCTTCTTCTGAAAAATGCTCATTGACTTACTCATGCACTAGATTGAACTTCATTCATGTACTTTTGCAGCAACCTATACTATTAAGTTGAATCATTAAAAAATCAAAAGAAGAATAATATCCTTTAAGATAGAATATCCCCTTGTTAAAAAACCATACGAACTTGTTTTTAATGGACATTGGAATAAAAGCTGGGAATAAAATGTTCCTGCTAAGGTAATTTCGTTTATTTTCAATAACTGCGAGTAGATGTCAATATAGTTCGTCGTTTTATTTCAGTGGACTATCTAAGAGAGCCTGCATTATATATCCAAAACGTTTCCAAAGCTGAATACATATGGACGTACAATTGCAGTGAAAATTTGCCCGAAAACACAGTAATCGTAGGAAATAAGGTTAGCATCGGTATATACTTTCATATATCAATAATCTATTATTATGACATATTAACGGTACATAGCGAAACAGCCAAACATAAACAAATTGAGCATCGTATTTGCTTCGAATGAGCTATAAATTATTCTAACGCAACTACATGCTAGTGCATATGACAATTATCTACATTTTAGCATGCGAGATTTACATGAAAGATTACAATTTTTCGACTGCTACACTTTGCTATAACATGCATATCATAAAAACTAGTCTGTTATTGAAATACAGCAAGCCACTTAACCTACGTAAACTGTTCGTGATCTAATAATGGTCTAGCTAGAATTTAAACAATATAATCACCTATTCAGTGTATTTTTAAAGGCATGGGAACAATATGACGGAATAATAAAAATACTGATATATATTTAAAACTTCTATACATTTTAAAGTTTCCAAAATATGTATAGCACTTGTCATCAAATGTTTTATGCACTTCCTTGAATGAGTAAGCAATAGCAATTAGTAATATCAGCGTTTTCGACAACCCAGAAACCAACCGTGCAGTTACTGATGAATTCCGAACTTCCGGTCGACAATTAACGAATGATTTAATATTGCACTGTGAATATTGATGAGAAATTCACAAAACTTATGTTTGTACTAATAAACTACTTCAAACTTAGGCTCTTTAATTTTGAAGTATTAGTTATTGTTAAAAAAAAATCATATTATTTTCCAGCTTACACTAACAAACGTTGATTTTTTAACTGGTGGTATATATTCATGTAAAATCAGATACAAAGGAAATGAGAGATACGCCACACGGCATGAAGTGTGCATCCAACGTAAGATTTTTTCTTTAATAAACATTTTGTAGACATGAGAGCCCTTTCTCCGAACAGCAATATTCATGAACCTTTAAATTACTATAGGAAGCCTACCTTACAACAGAAAATTAACTTCCAACTATCATACAAAAATTATTTTATGAAATTTATGAAACAAGAATACAAGATTTCTCGTTTTCAACAAATTTTCACATGGAAAATATTTCGGCATTCGTGGGGGGTGACAAAAAAAAGACTACGGAATAAATCCAAAATTTCAATTGTTAAACAGACTTAAACTTATAAATCGAAAAAATATGTTTAAATGTATTCTTTCTTATATTTCGACAAAAAGATGGCAATGCAGGAACCTACTCGATGAAATGTCCTGATAAAGTCAAGGTGAAACTAGGAGATGATGTGAATATCACGTGCAGTGTTGACTTTGGTACAGGACAACATCTATGGTTTTTACCAACTGCTATATGGAGTAAAGTAAGTAATATAGAAGGCAATAATCAAGTTTTTGATAAACAGCATTTTTAAGTCAAATAATTGTTGTCCTAAATCTTTATCAAATTGATAAGCTAATTTTTCCCTATTCAGATGATAGTTACTTCATCGTCTATAAAATATTGTAACGACACAAGTAAACAAATGTAATAATAAACGATCAATTTAAATGAATAAATAATCATACAATATGTTGAAAAGGAGATGACGTTAAACAAACATCGCAGAAAAAGTATTAGACTTGCTGAATAAATCCAATTTAGACAACGTAAGTTAAACATAGTGCGAGTCAACCAGGAAATGGGTGACTATAAACTTATTAAATAAATGAATATAAAACTAATATGAATTACTATCTTTAATACTCCATACTAGCTTTATACTGCTTAAGGCGACTGAAACATACGACTCATCATGTTCGATATTTAGTATATAACTTAATATAATGCAATGAAACGAGCATTGTTTTTTTTGCAGAAACTATTAAACGGAACCAGTGAAGGGTATTGCACGAAGCTTACGCTGCTAGGTGGACCGCGAAACTCAACCGTGGAGGAACGAGCAAATTGCGACAAGTGGGTTGATAATATTGTTACGTAGAATGTATAAAGTTTATCAAGATATACTTCCTTTGCACAGTAATTACGAATTGGACGACAAACTTAACTGCATTTGGATTGTGAATTTTCATGAAATTTATATACTTTGACAATCAATATTACGCGATTTTTACTCGCAAGGCAGACATTGTATCAACTTAGTAATTGAATATTGATTGCACTATATTGAATTTTTCTCCGCCAGATATTATTCTATGTTTTCATTATCTCAAATACCGCTTTGATGTAGAAATTCAAATGCTCTTTTCCTCGTATTGAAAACAGTCATGGAAACGAACCTAGGCTTGTCGTAATTGAAATTCTAGAAGTAAAATTCTAGAAAAGATTATCAAATGAAATAGTATTTAAAGAATTGCACTGGCTTTGAATAGGATATTTCGCTATTAACCTAAATTGATATTTTACTGTTATAGTGCTCAGATTACGGATCTGTACAAGAGATGTTTCCTGTACGAACCATCGGCCGATATAAAAGAAGCATTGCAGCATCTCACACGGCTCACACTAATTATAAAGTAAGTTTTGTTTAACATGTGAAGATTCGAAACCGTAGCAATCTTGGTTGTCAGTCTAGGAAACACTTATTCTCAGTAGTTCAGTCTGTCTATCTGTATGTGTGTCTCGCTGTTTAAATGGCAGGACCGATATGAATTGAATTTGTCTTGTATCTCACGTGGGTTATTCTTTAATTCGATTTTTTCGAAAATTTTCAATTGCGACACAATTTATCGCTATTTTCTTGTCAACCAAGTCGAAGTTTCAAATTATAAGAACGCTCCTTCTGCAAAAGAAAAAAACAATATTTCAAACAAATCGTCTTTTGTCTTGATACTCTATAATCTATAAACTGGGGAAACTTAAGGTATTTCGGTGAACATTATTTTAATGATTACCTACAGTATGCCGTTCACACAAGAATGTCTACGAATCGTGCAACGCTTGAATGAACTAGTAATTTCAGTAATACGCTTACTAAATCTCGCAACAAAAAATATATTTTAAACAACTTCCAAGCGAGCCAAAAACTGCACTGAAATACGCAATGAAGATAAAATGTAGATTCCAATTTACGAAATATAGGAGATGTATGGTGGCCCATCGTTGTCACGCGTAAAATTGAAGATAAAAATAAAAAACAAAATTAAAAACCAAAAATAAAAAAATTGTTGTGAAAAAACATAAAAATAATTAAAAAAAAAAATGAAAAAAAAAATTAAAATAAAATAAATAAATAAAAACGAAAATAAAACAAAAAAAAAAAATTGAAAAAAAAAAAAAATTAAAAAAAAAAAATTGAATAAAAAGAAAATAAAAAGGTTGACAACGATGGTCCGCCTCGTGGCCCATCGTTGTCACGCGTTTTTATTTTTAGAAAATTTGCTTCTGCTTGGGACCAAGGTTGTCAGCCTTATCCTACGCGCACAAATGTGTTCCCTGGGTTTCAAACTCACTACTGATTTTTTGAGCAATATTCAATATGAAAATGTTCTATAAATTCTCCATGCTACAAGTTCAACAAGAAGTAATATATTTATAATAATGATAAGAGAATATAGAATTGAATACGAAAATTCGGAAAATTTGTTTTTACGTGTATAAGGTAATTTAATTGGAGAATGCTGCTTAACTACTCAGTTGACTAGACACTCGCGATGCCGGTACCGTACCGTCTTACCAAATACCGGTAGTCGGTTATAGTCGCTTTGCGTCTAACCGTACCAGTAGCCATACAATCACTCATGAAAGAATGGGAGATACGGATAGTCTCGTAGAATATAGACTACTGAAACACTCTCTGCGCCTGCCCCATACCGTACAGCCGTAACGTACCGATCCAGACAAATGATAAGTCGCCCGTGCTCAACCATTTATTTCAATCCATACTTCGATCCTAGTAGAATATAGTGAGTCGAGGTATGGATTGAAATAAAGGGTTGGGCACGGGCGATTTATCATTTGTCTGGATCGGTACGTTACGGCTGTACGGTATGGGGCAGGCGCAGAGAGTGTTTCAGTAGACTATATTCTACGAGACTATCCGTATCTCCCATTCTTTCACGATAATTGCATGGGTACCGGTACGGTCAGACGGTACCGTACCGGCATCGCACGAGTGTCTGAGCAGTTAAGCAGCATTTTCCAATTAAATTACCTTGTACACGTAAAAAAAATTTTCGTATCCAATTCTATATTCTCTTATCATTATTATAAATATATTGCTTGTGGTTGAACTTGTAGCATGGGGAATTTATAGAACATTTTCATGTTGAATTTATTGGATATTGCTCATGAAAATCAGTAGTGAGTTAGAAACCCAGGAAACACATTTGTGCGTGTAGGATTAAGCCTGACAACGTTGGTCCCAAGCAGCATCGAATTTTCCAAAAATAAAAACGCGTGACAACGATGGGCCACGAGGCGGACCATCGTTGTCAACCTTTTTATTTTCTTTTTATCCAATTTTTTTTTTAATTTTATTTTTTTTTTTTTAATTTTTTTTTTTTAATTTTAATTTTTTTTTAATTTTTTTTTTTTTTTTTTTTTCAATTTTTTTTAATTTCAATTTTTTTTTTATTTTTTTTTTTCAATTATTTTTATGTTTTTTCACAACTCTTTTTTTATTTTCGCTTTTTCATTTTATTTTTTTCATTTTTTTTTAAATTTTACACGTGACAACGATGGGCCACCATAGAAATGGCTATCTAAATTTTATTCTGATTTGTATAAATGTATAGACCCGCTGCCGTTATAGATCCGCAAGTTTCTATGCATGGTAACCGGTTGCTTGAGTGTCAACTATCAGCGGAGATCCTGCATGCCTACCGGCTTGTTGTCAATACAAATTAATATCAAAACAAGCCGATATGCGCCCAGTATGGATCTCCGCCAATGCAGGGTAATATGCCAGCGATATTGTGCAGATAAAATTGTACCAAATGTGCCAGTTCATTTTGAGCGATGTGTATATTGTAGTTATCTTTGCGCGAAAGCTATCCCGTGACTAATAATTGAAACATTTTCACTAAAGTTCCTAAAGCTTTCTCCATTTATAGACTATCAAGTCGAAGGACGGCAAAGACTGCTTGTTCGAGAGAGTATTTTCCTCCGCGGAGGGTAGTATTATCAGAATTTCAATATTCGACTTGGTAGACGAATAAATAGCGAAAAATTATGAATAAATGGAAATTTTTTAACGACGGACGTTTTTTTGCTGTTGTCATGGAAATATCAATTCGGACATTAGGTAAAACGCACATTACTAGGGTGACAGCATACCCCAGGTGAGAAATTACAATCAACTCGGCCCAGCGTCTTAGACAATATAACTAAACAAACAGACAGACAGGCAGGCAGACGGAACGACTAAGAATAAGGGTCTCCTCGAGCGGAGATGCAACATAAAAAAATTGAATAATTTTTTCATTTACCTAAATTTTTTTATAACTAAGAGAAATGAAGGAATCCGATGCAGGGACGTATGGAATAAAATTCAGCGTTGATAGTGATAAATCTGCTAACAGCACCATTGAACTTGAGATTGATCAAGATGCAGAGCTGCTGAGTTACGCACATATAATTGGTCTGGGTATCATGGGTCTAGTTCTACTACTTTTGCTGATTGGATTATGCGTATGGAGAAAGATTGATATTTTATGGTTCGCGAAGAAATACTTTGGCCCATATGAAAAAGGTAAAGACATTAACGCATTTTATTATCAGAGAAAAAAAAATGATTGCTATGTTAATCCTAACGTTTTCCACAATATATTATATTAGCATGAGATGTATTATACTAACGAATATTTTGATATACAGATGTATTTTTTTTTTCCAAAAGTAATTGATCTTTTAATTTTGAAAAAAACAGAAGTGAAGAGATACACTGCATATTTAGCATATCACTACAGTACTGAGAACATGACGGATATATCTAGAAAATTGACCAATGACTTGGTTGGTGCTCTGTATAAAGTACTTGATGAATTGAATGCAACAACGTATGATGACCACAAAGATGAAAATGAAGTTCAGAGTGAGTAGTTTGATTTAGCTTACTTTTAGAAACCGACTGATTTCAATTTGAAGTAACTGATGAAATTACTGAAATTCTAGCATTTAAGTATAGTCATTTGCAATTTAGTGTATTTCCTGCATATTAAGGTTTGGTATATTTGCTAACTAAAAATTAAAATGATATAATATAATAAATATTTACTTAAATCACCATTGTTGCCTCATATAACAATGCCTAAAGATTGTTTATTATTGTTGGACCTCACACGTTTTGGATCATTTTCATATTATTACAGTGCATATTGAAAACATCGCAAACGCACAAAAAGACTGTCATCGTATCATCATTATACTGAATCCGGAGTACGTCACAGATCATTGGAGTCTTCATAAAGCTTACGCGGTAAAGTAGTTTTGCAACAATCTTTTCTTTTTTTTCTTTTCAGAAATATTAAATGACGCTCACCATTTAGCGACACAAAATTTCAAATATAGAGTATTCAAAGGAACTCGACTTATCGTGATTCGCATGATACAGTCTAACATATATTATGAAAATGAGAGGAAATGGCATAGAAACTGTTTAAAGTCATGTCACAACAGCGATAGTCCTAAGCAACAGCCCCATCATTGTATATATCATCAACATTCTCATTTCAAATAAGTGACATCAATCAAATCTATTTCAGGCACTTCGTAACATGATCGAAGGAGGAACCCAAGTGATTTTTATTTCCTTGCCAGGCGTTGAAAAATATTTTGAACAACTTCCAAGCGAGCCAAAAACTGCACTGAAACACGCAATGAAGGTAAAATGTAGATTCTAATTTACAAAATATAGGAGATATTTATCTAAATTTTAGTCTGATTTGCTAGTGGTGTAATAGAAAATATTATTTTTTGGGTATTATACTCAACCCTATCCAGTATGGGCACCAAGCAATCAGTGTCACATCATATGACGTCGACAGTCTGGATAAATCTATACAAGTTTTACTTTGTAAAGTGATCTCTATCCTACATCTTAATTATATTTGTTAACCTTGATTATTTTTCAGATGAATACAACCATCAAATGGCAAGGCAGTGTTCCTCTGAACGGTTCTATTCGTCGCCATCTTGAATATGCTCTGCCTAAGTGCAAACAACAAGATAGAAGACGAGGAGAGGCCGCAGAAAAATTAGCAATCGAAGAAAGAGTAGTTTAATCAGATACAGGAAAAAATGGTTCAAACAAAAGAAGACCAAAATAAAGAATTTATCAAAGCCACAATATTAACTCACCTTAGAAATGTCAGTATAAGTGAAGCTATAAATAAAATCCGACGTAAGTCCGAATCACCATAATCCGGACTATAAGATGACACATTTTTAGCATTATTCTGCATAATATGAATGGAATTGATACAAAAAGCTTTGCAACATATTAAACTACAATTCATACCGTTTCGTTTCTCAATTGAGGTATTTTAATATTTCTGCAAATTTTATTAAATTGAACAGCCCAGCAAAATTTTTTACTGTTATTTCATTCTTATTTTGCGTTTACAGCAAAATCTTCAAATAACACAATATGCATTTAAACCAAACTTTTATGATTAACTATTCTGTTTGTTGATATTTTATATAATTTGTTTTAAATAATAATACCAATTCTATTATTTGATAAATAATACAGTAGAACTGCTGTACGTAAAGATATTTGAAACGTTTCAAAATAGAAAAAAATCAAAATTGCAAAAAATGTAATTTGACTAAACAGAATTGCAGACTGTATTTTGAAAGAGTCGTAATTATTCGAATTGAGTTCAATTAGTTTTCTCTATTTGTAACAGAAAGAAATTTATCGAACAATTTGTACTTTAGTTTCATAAATAGTAAAATTGAATACGAATTGTTCAAAGGATACTTCAATTTAAGAAAACTACGAATGTTAATTTTTTTCCAGACAATTTAATCTTCTTTTTTTGCCAAATAGCGTGTGTTCACCATATGTTTTTATCCTAAGTTCTCTGAAATAATTTTGCAAATTTTTTCGTTAATGTATTTATCCTTCATTTGAAAAGTTCAAAATTCGGTACTGTCGTGGTATGTGAACCAAGATGGCGGACACTGGAACGTAGTATGTGTACAAGTTTAGGGTTAGGCTATAAGTTCAGGTACAAATATTACGAAAGTCACTTGGCTGGTCCCCGAACTCGTAATAGAACTAAGATAAGGAGAATAGGAATAAAATTATGGCCTAACCCTAACCTGGTACACATACTATGTTAAGGTGTCCGCCATCTTAGTGCATATACTACGGGAGCGCCCAAAATTCTTCAAAATTCACTTTTCATTGTAAAGTTGGAAAATTTTGGAGAAAAACAAATATTTCAAAAATTGTTCTAATATGACAGTTAATATTTTCTAGCTCTATTCTATATTACTCTGTATAAGTAATTTTAATTCTTTAATAAATTTGCATTTAACGTTCATGCCATACTGAATAAATGATATAACTTAACCAGAATTTCAGTGCTATTGATATATATCTGATATCTCCAAAGTATCTCCCTTCTGATGTTGTTCGGTAGTACTGCATGTTACAAGGTTTTTAACATGGCTTCATTCAGAACAATGATATGCGAGAGCCCACTGGTAAATGATAAGTTAATTGTATTCAAGAGTTGTGGAATCAGTCGCGTTTGGCACTTCCTAAACCAATATATTACATCTGGAGTGAAAATGTGGGCACATATTTGAACTCGAGATTTTAATCTGCTTTGCCAACATGGCCGAGTCCAACACTTCAACCATTAAGTCATCGCTCCGACACTGGATGCAGTTAGCAACTTAAATTTTTTTGTGGCTGTCGTATTTGAGAGAAGTGTTCTGTGGAAATAAAACTGTTTGCAAACATTGTCTTACCACCAACGTGCCGAGATCTCTAGGACCTTGTCACGTCTTCTCAATAGCTCGCGATCTATAGACGTGACATAATGGGAAACATATTGGACGCGTCACTCCAAGCCCCAACATTCAACTTCATCCACAAACAATACAAATGCTTAAAATCAGCTTCTTATTGTTACATGTCACTAATTCAGCAGTTACAGAAATCAGCAAAAGTCATTTCATACATTTGAAAGGCAAACGCAAGCAGCGTTTTTTTTAAAAGCGAACTAAGTACAATTAAAGATCACAATGCTTAAGCCACATATCGTGAATAAATTGTTAACGTCAAAGCAGTGAGCACCACAGATACTTCGGCAAACCTAAATTACCAATGGTCAAGGCCTTTGAAATCGATATAGTTGCATAAACGCTTGCTACAAAACTAACAAAGACAAACGAACTCTCAACAAACGTTTTCCAATGCGGGAAAATGCAATCAGAATATAAAAAAAAAAAAAAAAAAGTGTATGTACCAATATGACGGTGAGTCATTTTGTTCCCCTAATCTACATCAAGTCGTGTAAAGGAATTGAAGCCTATAAGGCATAAGCAGAAAGTACCTTCACTTGGCTAACACAGACAGAACTCGTAATAGAACTGAAATAAGGAAATTGGAATTAAATTGTGGCATAAGCCTAATTTGGTACACATACTACGGGAGTACCCAAATTTCTACACCATTACACGTTGAATCTGCAATGTGAATGCCAACAACAAAAATGAAACCACACTAGATAACAAGTTAAAAATACTAATCCAGTACGATCGTAAACAATCAAATGTACGTGAAATAATGGGGCGAAATAATTGGATGCAACTGATGCACAACAATGTACTGAATGCGGTGGCAACAATAAAATGTAAACACTTTGGGCATCAAGTCATTTTTCATATTTGATGGGTCGTTCACACCGTATCAACTTTTCTACTAATTCAATCGAATATACATTCATTGCTCAAGAACTAGGAAGTCTTGTATGTGTGGGTTCATAGAAGAAGTTTTGTCGGAACTATGAATGTCGACGAATAGTAGGCTACATACACTTATTAGTGGCAACTGTGTATAATTTAATGCGAGAACTTAGATTTGTCGTCACGTAAAGATATTTATATATATAAGTCACAAGAGAACCCAGATTCCGAAATTCCTTACGGCTGCATTAGGCAAAGCTGAGTTGAAAATGTATACGCAGCAATGAAAATAGTTTAATTTGGGATTGTTGCCATGAGCCTGCAAAATAAGGTTATTACATGCGGCGAAGTAACAAATAGAACCTCTACAAAATCTGAGGTATGCTGAGTTGCTTGGTATGTATATATACGTTATTCGGCTCATTTATTGTGTGGGTTAGTCTACCGATTCTAAAATAATTGTCCATATAAATATCAAAATTAAATCCTATATATTGTTTGTAAAAATGAACTGTTATTAAATCCTATATATTGTTTGTAAAAATGAACTGTTTTTAGGTATTTCCGCTACCGTGGTTAAATAAGAATTGTTTGTTGTGACGGGAAATTACAATTTATCTTTATTGGCAATTCACAGATTTGTTCGTAAACAACATGTTTGGCATATTGACATAGGTCAATAAGTGATAATCTTTTCTTTGGCTTGGGGTTTCGGACAATATTAGAGATAAGGATAATCAGTAGCCACAATTCATATTCATAACAGCAGCTTAGATGTTTTTAAAGCTCAAAAGTACGTTTCAGAGTAGAATAGATATATATTTTGCGATTATGATATTCACCATGAAAAAGAGGAAAACTACCAAAAATATTTTTTATGTGATAAAACTCATACCTTCGTCCAAGGTTAAAACCTTCGAAGAGAGCAACAAGCCAACAATCATCACACAATGGTAAATAAACGGCCACGCCGAGGATCTCCGCTATTACTTGAGGCCGACGTGAGTTTCTGGGCTGACAATAGATAATAAAAGATGCTTTTTCTATGGCAGCGTAACGCAATGACCTGGATACCGAAACTGCCAGTTCCATTTTCAGTACTGCGTTTAGTAGGCATTTCACGGGAGTGGTAGACACTCCGGCTGCTAATAAATATTTTCAATTATATTTCTTATTTTACCTCTGAACGCAGTTGACTATAAATTTGAGAAAATTGAAAATTTTCAAAAGATCGGCATAATTGTTCGTTGCAGCCACGTAAGCAAAACATCTATCCGGACTATCGGTGAAACACACATTTCAGGATGAGAAGATAAGTCACGTTAGAAATTTCATTCAGATTGGTCCAGTCGTTTAGCCGCCACATCTAAAGTCCAGTCTAGACTGGCAGAACAACTGGGAATAATTAGAGTCTCATAGAGAGCTAGAACCAGTGTCGGGTTATGGTCTTTGGACTTTGAGACGATATCTGAGATAGAAAAACAAGCAAAATTCATTCCAACAGGGCCAACATTGAGATCTGAATCGCCTGACGAATTTGATTTAGCATTTCATTTAACGCTGAGGCACTATTGGAAACTTGGCTATAAAAATTTCTGTGACCCCCCTTTTCCTTGGTGCCCTGAGCACGTGCTTATTTTACTTAATGGTCAATTCAGCCTTGACTACAGTATACTTGCGTTATTATAGCCCTATAAATCCGTCAGCATAATGTAGATGTAGAGCAATACTAAATAGATTTAGTTTTGCTTCGTATCCCAAACTAACACCTTCAGTGAAATTGAAAATTAACAGTATTGAAGTTACGGTGAAATACTATTGGAACGTTCAACGACTTGCGCTTTCTAGCAGTATTACTGTTAAAAATCGTCAGTCGTTAAATGTTTTACGTAGCATTTTATCGTAACTTCAATACTGTTGAAAGGCGTCAGTCGTTAAATGATAAGATGGCATTTCACCGTATCTTCAATACTGTTAAATATCGCCATTAACATCTCGCTGTAACTTCAATACTGTTAACAAGCACCAGTCGCCATGAAATCCAATATTTGTTTTTCCATGCATACCGGTATTTAGAACAGCAGTAGTGTACCGTTATTTCTAGACGTTCAATATTTCTAATAGCTAAATACCGATAACGGGATTCCGCTACTTTAGCCGTACCCCACACAGGCACTCTAAGCAGAACACACCGAATGTACTTATAATTTTCTTATATGTTTTCACTTTAATGTTATGAATCAGTATCCATACTTGTATGGCGGTCACTACGGTAATGACGGTTCCTACATTTCAAAAGTTCGGTCTATTCTGTCCCGGGCCTGATCATGCCTTTTACAGTTTAAGAGGCCCTAATCACCTAAGACCATGGTGCCCTATGTATAAGAAGTAATAATAATATTATACAGCATAATAATAAGTAAACAGTTTCAAGATTCGATACTGATTGAAGGCCGAATTATGAAATATTTTAAATACTGAAGCGCCATTGAAAATTGGACTTCGACAATTTATATGGTGCCCCTTTTTCCTTGGTTCCCTAGGCACGTGCTTATTTTGCCTTATTATTAATTAACGCCTGCCTAGAACAGATATATATAAGATTGAAAACTTCGGTGGTCACTAACCAACATGATTATGCCAGAAATTTACAAATCATTTATTGCTATGCATGCTACTTAGTGGAACTTCTGGCATTTCTTTGATTGAACAATCCTCTTTAATTTTTGCTTTTATGTCGTTGTAGCCAATGGAAGCAGATTTTTCACATGGATGTCAGTCAGAACAGATCAATGCTTTGTTTTCAAGTGTTTTAGGGAAGGAAACACATATTCGCAGAGGTATGTTGACGCAAACATTCACAATATCATAGGCGCAGCTCATTTGACATTGGGGTATTTTCCATTGACATTCTTTTCCATAACTCAATGGCCCATTCCCTCAAAAAGCATTTAAGATGGTCTTCTTCAAAATATAGATCGTCATCAACCCAGTTGCAGCCTTATATGAGACTAGAGGGAATTTCAAACAATCTGTCTCAGAATTGAATGAGTCGTCGACGACGTAATCTTTGACGTTTTATCTGCGCTTCAAATACTTCATTCAAATGCGCGTTTGTCGCCAAATTTCTTTCCCGATGTCTATTACGCCAGCCGTTATAGTGCAATAATCAAGTCTCACAACAAAGAATTTGATTGTGACGTAAAAATGAACGATTGCATGGCAAAGTGAATGAAGGTGCTCTTGCATCTTCGACGTAAAAGAAGAATGCACGATAAATCATATTTTGATATCACGACCTATCTAGATATTGGTGTGTGCCAGTGAAATACCCTTTTAAAAGAATTTGCTTACATCGAGATCCCAAGCTCGGAGAAATAAATTAACACACACTTAACACCTATTTAGCAATTTTAAGGAAGACTACTAAAATACTAAACGATAGTAAGTCAACTCCGAACTGCCGTCAACAGAGAAAAAATTCATGAATGAGTCCCAACAGAACCCAATCGATGTTTTAAGTACAGTAGTTGCTTATCGTTTTTATTTTTCTGTAACTTTCTTTATGACGTCACAATATAGTTGTATGATCAGCTGATTATTTCCGCCGTCACCGGTTTTGTTTCTGGTTTAAACAAGTGTTGATTTTAGTTTATGATAGGGTAAGATTCTAATTTTATACAGGGAAAGTATAGATGATAAGATAGATTAATATATGACGAGTCATGGCCTCTCGTCCGGTTACCAGTCTGTGTCGGGTACGGGATTGTTGGCCAATTATTTGTTTCAGATAACTGGTCTTGATGGTGGAGAAAGCCGTAACGGATCAACATTATTTTGTGACACAATTCCCTTTCTCGAATATGTTTGAGCATTTGTTTTTACGATGGACTAATAATTAATGTAAGTTAATTTATGTTTTATTCACATTGTGTAGGCTATGTAGTCAGAAGAACAACTTTGTTTGAGCCGTCCATTTCTCACTGAGCACTCTAACGGTAGTGTCTGTATTTCTATAATCGTCCATGTACAAGTTCTGGAGAAACATTCTCTCATCATAACGGTAAGTCATTTCTTTATTATTCAGATAAACATTCTTCAATGTAAGGATTGTTTATAAAGTATCGATATATTTCTACGTTAGATAAAGCTAGGTTTTATGTGGCAATAATGGTAATATAACTTATAAGATTTGTCTTGTGATAAAATAACATTGGCAAATAAAACTTATCTAGTTCCACAAATGTACACACGTGTCATACTATATTGTCTGAGTTTTTTCACGGTCGCCCAATGTTATGTTATATTAATGCTTTGTGTGTTTCACCAATTGTATATCCGAAACCGATACCGAGTATCGCATGCTATACCCAGTCAGTCTTAATAAAAGTACGGCTTCTCGCCTCATATATGCCACATAAAAGTCATATATATATGTCATTTTGCAACGATAGGCACCAAGTGGTTAAGTGCAACTGTTAATCACAGCGTATGCTGTGAGCCGCACAATTTTAATTAATTCACGGATAAAAAGTTTTGAATACATTGTGTGCATATATCTAAGCAAAGTGACGGTTGGTCACTGAAACTCTAGAAATTTACGTGGTGCGTCACGACTCACGAGACACTGAATGCTGGTTCACGCGTGACAAAATCAGGCAAACGATCAGCAAGTCTGAAGTTAGTCTATTCCGCATAATTGAATCTTTGGAAAAGTGTGGCATGAATTTTTTTTGTTTCGTGGCTAAACTGGCAGAAAATGAAAGGCATGATGCTTCATCTTTCGCTAACGTTTCCCCTGTTTGTGCTCATAGTAATTATAGCACCGGTATCACACCGATGAGTCACAACTGTTTCAAATAGACATTTCATAATTTCCTTATTGCTTTTTTTCTTCTGTGATGTATTAATATTTGATCCACATCAAGCATAATGGGAAGCATAGTACCACACTGTCCTCATAAAGTAATATTTATGGGGGGGGGGGTATTTACTTGGCTAACACAAAAGTTACCGAACGCGTAATAGAACTAAAATAAAGAAATTCGGAACAAAATTATGGCCTAACGCTGATCTGGTACACACATTACGAGTGTACCCTACAAAGAACGTAGCCAGACAAAACTGACTTATTAATATGAATATATATAGCGATGCGATGGCTGTAATACAGTACCACACGTTTAAAGATCTACTATTTTGTACACAGCGATCGCTGAACATGGCTTAGGCAAGAGGAAATATAAAATTGAAGTGTACATTAGATTTACGGGGGCTGCAAAAGTGCGTGTACCAGTATGGAGATAACTAAAAAATTTGTTCGCCTATTTTACATCAGGTCGTGTGAACATATTGACAGAGGGTATATTCACTTGGTCAACACAGACAGTCCCCAAACTCATAATAGAACTAAAAAAAGGAAAATCGGAATAAAATTATGGCCTAACCCTAACCTGGTACACCCACTACGGGAGTACCGATTTTCGGGTACCGCGGCGTTAAACTATAGTTTTAAATCTATATGTCGCAATCTCATGATAAGCGTTTGGGGCTTTTCAGCGAATATCGGTGATGAACCAGAGTGTGCAAGGTGAGTTATTTTTTCATTTCATATTACATTATTAAGTAAGTGTTAGCTTAAATGCTAGTATAGACTGTTGGGCACTAGATTGGTCATTATACTTCAAAAGCTTATGTCACAAAATGGTCTTACGCCCTTATAATTTCTTATAAAACCAATTTCAAAGTTCCCTAGGCAGATATATTACAAACTTGGCTATAATTGTGAGTATTTATTGCAAGAAATGAATTAATCAACGGGTATACAATCAAATTAGGCAGACCAAGATACGATAAAATACGTGGAAACATGAAAGTATACACAATTACACATAACACTTCTGCAAGACTAATTTTAAGGTAATTCTGCGAGACAACTTAAGGTAAATATCAATTGAAACGGAAATTTTAAAATAAATCTTATCTTTAAATTATTTCCAGGAGAAACATATTGTTTTGTTTTCAAAACTTTCTCCTAGATAAGAATTGATTTTTAGCAAATACAATATTTAATAGGATTAAATATTTTTACTAGTTCGATTGGCTGGGAAAATAATTTTTTGGAATTGTTAAAGCTATTCTTGCAATACTTTTTTGCTTTTGTATAATTGCACATATTTTCAGTCCGCAAATCGTAAATTGAACACTATTATGAAAAATATAATGATACAAATAGCATGATTTCAGCAACGGTATACCATTAAATTATATATTACCTCTTTTAATATATAAAAAACGAATACATGAATAACTATTTGATTAACAAAAATATAGTCACGACCAAAATTTTTTTGACAAAGATTATATTGCATTTTCTTACAAAATTACAAAAATTAAACATATAATATGACTAAAAATATTTGATAAATGTCATACACGGCATGAATTATGAATTGCACATAATATGGACTTTATAATGTCTTTTCTCACAGAATTACATTAATGGAACCTCATATAACACAAAGAAAAATATTTGAAAAACTTCGTGAATTACCTATCACACGTCCATCTTTTCCGGCAAATTCCTATTTAACAATATTTCTTGTAAATATATCGATGAGGATTACAATGTACTTTCTTAAAGCATAACACAAGGAAAAATTATTAGAAAAGTTTCACGTACGGCGTGAATTATGAATCGTACATTAGACGTTTTCATAAATTGGATCTTGGTCTTCTTCTTCCACTTCAAGCGCATCATTGGAGTACACGTTAGTTGAAGACAAATACGTCTTAACCGCTTTGTAGCAGAAATTGTATTGCTCCTGGAATGTTTAACATAAATTTCCAATCATTATATACAGCAGCTAAACGTTTTTCAATTATATTATAATTTGAAAAATTTAGGCCTAAAAATGAATTATTTAGAAGCTAGACCGGACATGGGCAAATTACGGACCGCGGGGCAAATCCGGTCCGCTGAGTTATTCAATTGGTGCAGTCTGATGCTCGTGCGCTTGTGTGGTCACGCAAACCTCAAGATTAAATTTAGTGCCAACAAAGTTGTGTTAACGCCCCCATAACGCTAGCTAACTAAGTTGGATTAACCGAAGTGTGTCTTGTATGCAAAAAAAGCGTTGCTGTTTTAAAATAATACAATATTTGTCGCACATATAAAATAAATCATTTACGTCACACTTACATGGCCCGCCAGTTTAGGTCGGCAAAATTTTTGGCCCCTGCTCCAAAAACATTACTCACCCGTGAACTAGACTAATACAATTCGTCCAACTCTTTTCTGAGTCTTTTTTAAAAGAACCAAATTCGGATTATTTCATGCTGATAAATTTCATATCAGGACAAAAGAATATTTATTTTCATGGTTCATAGCTTGTTGTTTACTTTGTCGTAAAACTAAATAATAATCAAACATAGTTATACAATATTATATAAAGACATACCAGTGTTTTTACCACTCCAGGCCGATTATCTCTCAAATCTTTAACAGTGCGGAAGATGTCGATACGGCCTTCATACTTCAATCGGTCTATAACATTCAAAATGGTACAGAAAACACCAGTACGCCCCAATCCGTCACTGAAATGATAAATATGAGATTAATAAACAAGCCTTCCACGACTTCAAATTACATTTATCGCACGGGTATCGATTCTTCCATCCATCTATACAACAACAACAAAAATAAATTTTCTATTGACCTATGTAGATACTGATACATAGGCTAATTTGAAATGCCATACGTCGAGATAAGGATTATGAGCAAATCTTAAACTTGATTAAACGAGTGGAGTACGTGGGTATAACACGCAAACAGAATTTTCTTGAAATGCTTTAGATTTCAGAACCCAACATTTCCACAACGATATGACCGCACTAATTCATTGGAGAATCGCATAGAATGAAAATGAATAACACCATAAGTCTTCGCCAAATTGATCTCATTATTGATGATTTTTTCAAAATAGCATATACATTTCGACTTTTTGTTATTATTTTATTTTTAGACTATAGCTTATAGGTTCCGCTGCTCGATAGCCAAATTTGATTTCTCCCGGCTCCCCTCACTCTGAAATGCTTTTTAGTTATTTAGTGCAATTTGTACATCAAGTGTGCTTTTAGTATTATGAGAAAATAAACCACTGATTACTGAATGATTGTTAAGTTTCATCACTTTAAAATTTACAAATCTTATATAATCTTCGTTTTTCAATGATAAATCATCATTAGTGAAAAAAAAATTAGAAACTTAAAGTTTGGGGAAGTGACTTAAAGAAGTTATTTCAATTCACCACAAACTTCACTTTGACCATTATATAAAAATTCCCATACGCAATAGCCACAGAAGCAAGGGCATATTTTGCGAATTGAATGATTTCATTGCTGTTTGCTCGGTTGCTGCATTATTTGTGGAGAAGTCGTTGTTACTGAGTTATAATTCTTTACCTGCAATGAACCATGGTTGCACCGTTCGTCTCCCATGTAGAGTCTGATTGTAACATATAGACAAGATCAAGTATTCCTGTAGCATCCTCTGGTACCGATTTTAAACTCCAATCTGGATATTGATACTGCGTAACAATCTGCAACATATTGAAAAGTTATGTTTATATCACTCGTTTAATAATTTCGTTCATGATATTTATTTCAAATCATCACCCTTTGTGGTTGGTTTGTCCTTAAAATTTTGAATCTCCGTTCAATGTTTCCTCTGCGTCGACTTTCCGCTTCAAGTTGAATTTTTATGAAGTTTAGCTGGAGCGTCTCACTAGTCGATTTTGGCCAGTAGCAGACTGATTCATCTTGTGACTGTGGAAATAAATATTAATTCAAATACAGGTTCTCCTAAATACAAATGTTGCGAGTTTGTTTTATTCGATTCTGCAAGTAATAAAATTGATAGTAACTGAGTACAGGAGAATATTCGATTTTTGTCTTCATAGACTTCAACTTCATTTACAATGAAAAAAACTAAATCTATCTCTTTCAAACTTCCTAATTTTGTACATCCTGATATGCATATAATCTTATTTGATAGCTTTTCATTCTTCAAGAGGGATATCGCCTAATAGAGTATATCTAAAATTGTGTATGTTTGATATTTTGATTAAAATTATTTTGTGCTATTTTTCATTCCTTTGTCAATGATTTTCAACTAAACGTTTTATAGCCTTGATGTCCACAACCTTAAAATGTTTTTGACTCGTATAACTTTATTGACTCCTAAAATTGCTTTGAGTGAATCTTTTAAAGACAACATTGGAATAAATAAATTTTATACTTACAGTGGCATCATTTCCAGGGGCGTCAACCATCACTATTGTATTCACGCTATTATCTAGGACTGCCCGCCAAAAATATTCTACTGTCGATTTGTAAGGCCCTTGTGCCGCAATTATCTGAGCGTTTTTGTTGTATGCCTGCAAATATGTTGTTGTTATTTTATTGTAAATGTAGAATCATCCAATTTATACATTTGTAACAATTTGTAGGCATCAATTTTATTCTTACAATGGTATTTCTAGTCTGAAAATTCCCCTCAGTATCGGAGAAGCCAACTTGCAAGACATACATTAGCAGCGGTCGACTTATGTGGGTCAAATTTTGCGCAAAAGGATTTTTGTAAGAATATATTTGTATGAAAAGGTTCTTGCGCGAAATTGTAATTCTGCAAAAACAGAGTTTTGTAAAATTGTAGTTTTACAAAGACAAATGTTCGCAACCATCTTAATTGTTAAACGTACCTTTGCGAACATGCTATTTTTTAGAACAAGCTATTTCGCGGTTTAATGAGAATAAATTTGGTCAGAAATAGAGCACTTAAGTTAGAATTTGTACTTTTTCAAGATACTTTTCTTCTCATAATCATATTCTTGCATATACTGCAAATTTGCACAAATATCCATTTTGGCACAAAGCTTTCTGTACAGGCAGTATAGGCATTTGACTTATCATTTAAGCATTCTAAATAATAGAATGCCGCAAGGTGTCAGCATTGAGAACGTGATGGTAATTCGTGATTTTGTTTGAACAGTGCCGTAATGTGACTAATGTCCTGACGTTTGCATAAGTACCATTGCATATTTACTTTACCTCGCACGATACAGGGGAATGCGTCCTGTTTGACAAAGTATTATATTTATGGACTATTTAATTATACCGTCTTTGTTGCCCAGAAAATAAATATCACCACACATGGTTACAAAATCATTTTTGTGATAAAAATTAGATTATGCTGACCTCAATATAGTTGGCGTCAATCGATATCCATTCCGTATCTTCTGGCTGTCTGACGATAACCACTCGGTTTCTAATTCCTAAATGCAATACACTATTGTTAAAATTGTGATTTTTTCTGATCATGGTATACCTATTCGAATATTTCTTAGGGGAATGCAATTATAGATTATTCTGGTTGTAATAGAAACACTGAGTGTAACAGCGTATATCACCTGATCTGATATTTTCTTATTATTGACAAATCTATGAAAACTATCTTTGACTCTAATATAACTTTAATAGTTACGCCTCACTTACTCGGAACATGGTCGTCCTCCTTTTTCGTTTGGTTCAAGGACTCTGCGAAAGCTAGATTTTCAAATTCCTTCTGAATATTTGGTTTTCTAGTAGATCTGAAAAATATTTTTTAACCTTATCGTAACCCATGACAATTTTATTAGGTGATCACACTATTTTAAAACACTTATTGAGTTGTTGCGCGGCGACGCAAACTTAATATTTAGGTCAATTTTTTTTTATATATTCCGTGTCATCTTTTAATCACACCAGTGATATTTTACCCAATGTGTCATTGACCCTTCGGAATAAAATCATAGATTTATAAAGTCAATTATTCTTTACAAAATGGATGTTTCAATAACACAGGATTGTACATATTGCAACATCATAGTATCGATGCCCTCGTCGCTCACTTCTTTCACTTTGCAGTGTGCATAAGCCATATTTAGAAGTTAAATATTTGTATTTTCCTCTTACCCTTTGCCTGTCTGTTGATTTACGATAAATTGCTCTCGCGTGACGTCAGTTTCGCCAAACATATACCGTTCCAACATCAATTTATGAAGCATATCATATTGGTCCTGTATGTGCAACGTCACAAAATGCAAAACCAAACAATAAAATGAAAGTTGTATGCTCCTCCAATCGATTCTATATTATGATTTATAATATAGTAATATTCAAAGTGAAAGTGTTGGTCAGAAAGAGAATTGATCGATTCTCAGTGATTTCGTAATTTACAAAATATTTCCCATATCAGCCCGTAGTTCAAAGCCGGAAACAATACGATCTCTGTGGGCTAACAGAAAGATTAATATAATACCATACTTACAATATATGAAAACATAATAGCAAAAAAAAGTACTCAAAATTGTGCCTGGTGGACGAAAAATCGTGGCGAATGCGAACCAGGCTATGCTATGGGATATCACAAGATGTTGCCCATATGAGTTCTGTAAATGTTCATATACATAAATATTTGACGAATTTACTTTAAATTAGACCAAGTCCAATGAAAAGCTTGATGTGCTTTGTTGTGAAATATCCCATTCATACGAAAGACATTTTCCGTTAGAACATATCTTTCATCATACTATAATTCAAAGGTTTCTCTGTGAAATTTTGACGTTAAGTATTGTTTCTAGCAGTGAAACAGTATTGACTTTTTAAAGGGATGTTCATCTGTCAGGTAAGTCATTAAAAGGGCTCATAGCAATGAAAATGATGGCAACGGCTGGTATAAGTGTAGAAAAAATCCAAAAAAGACATATTAGTTGGTAAATTATTTCTTTCTTACATTTGTTAGCTCTGTAAAATATTTAGTATAAAAATTGAAATACTTACACATGTTTGTACCATATCCACGCGCTGTGATCTCATTTTCATTACGCAATTAAATACGTCCACGCTGCTTTTGTCTTTGGCTTGATCTTGCAGTATATCGTAACCAATAAACGTACCCGTTCGTCCGACTCCGGCGCTAAAACGAGTGTGCAAGATTGTGTAACAAAACTTAACTGCGAATTTTAAATTTTATTTAGTTATGAAATATGAGCCTTTTTGTTATTGCAGACTTTCTTTCATGAACTTCAACTGTAAAATTTTATTAAACAAAATGTTGAATTGTTACTGCTTATTTTTGAAACTGGAGAAGTAACGGAGGTAATTCGTCAGTAAATCTCATAAAGTTATTGGAGTGATCCTGCACAAATACCGAAATTCCATTAAAATATTTTGGATTGGAAATGAGGATTGATCATAAATATGAGTTTCTATGTACAATTAAATTTGTTTGTGGGAAACTATTTTGATTAAGATGAAATTGTCAATTATTATGGATATTATACAAACCTGCAATGAACTAGAATAGGTGCATCGCATCGAGTTTTTCCATACGTTTCCATGACTGCTTCTTGTAAACGAAAGAAACTTGAAGTTGTTACAGGGACTCCATGATCTGGCCATTTTAAAAACTGATATTGTTGAACGGTAATGTTTTTCTAAATGAAAAAATAACATCGGTGAGTGAAGGTTTGCTATTAATAACTATTCAACGCACAATATTATGAGGCTTAACATCCCAGCGATATTTATCGAAATATTATATTTCCCAGTTGTATACAGTTTCCGAAACCTAGTTATACCAATAAAACAAAGTCTATTCAACTTTCGAAACTGAAGTTTTGTAGATTTTATGTAACAGATTAATTTTTTGCTTTCATATTTTTTTCGCGTTGCTACAACGTTGCTAAATAAGCTTGATGAAGTGAGGTTAAAGGAAAAATATAAAATTATTGAAAATAAAATAATATAAAAAGATTGTTCACTATTTTCGAAATAGGCAATAAACCTGCAATAAATAATTAGACCATAGTTTGACTTTGTCAGCTAAATAATGTAGGCCAGTCAGTCGTTTGTTAGTATTTTGAATTCTACTTCAGAACTACTTTTGATAAATTTTACTTTCATGTTATTGATCAAATGCATTGATCATGCACATATTCATTGATAAATAAAAAAAAAAATTTATATTTCTCTTTAAACCTCACTTCATCAAACTTTTTGTAGCAACGTTTAAAGAAAAATATAAAATAATTTTATTTATTTATTTATTAATGAATATGTACATGATGCAATGCAATGCATTTGTTAGATTATTGTTTTTAATCTCAACATACAATAACATAAAAAAATCAAAAGTAGTGCTGAAGTCGAATTCAAAATACTAATAAACGACTGACTGGCCTACAATATTTAGCTGACAAAGTCAAACTATGCTCAAATTATTTATTGCAAGTGTGTAGCCTATTTCGAAAATAATGAACAATCTATTTTGTTTTAGATATATTTTGCTTTAGCTTAAGGTTATTAATACGATATTGTCACATTGTTTAATAGCTCATGGCTAAAGATATTAGGCCTATTTACAATTATTAGCTCTTCATCTGGTTGTACCTTCCATTAAACGCTAATCCATGTATGGGATTGCGCTTGGAACTCAAATAAAATAAATTGACTGCTGCTTACATCATGCGGTGTTTGAATAACAAGAATTCTTCGTACAAATCCACCGTAATATATTTCTTGTTCATTTCTCACAATGAAGGATCCTTGTTGAACTGATTCGTTAACGTTTGGCCAGTATTGCTCGCATTTTATCTGTTTATGTATAAATATAATATAAAATGGTAATCGGTAATTTCATCATGAGTTTGCACGAGAAAATAAAACAAGAGTTGTAATTATTTGTAGGAAAAAAACGAATGTCCTTAAAATAGAAGTTGAATAAGAACAGAGGCAAAAATCATATGTTACATAACGAGTCAACATACCACAGCCAAGATAAATAATCGTTAAATTGCTCTGTTTGTTTTGGTGACCTAAAATCAACTTATAACGTTTAGCTATACATAGCAATAATTACGATATCTCAACGTTTAGTATAGGGTCTGCTTGCAAATCTCAACGCAATATTTTTAAAAAGTTATTTAGTTAAAATACCTTTCCAGCCTCGACGCATTTTGTTAACATCACAATTATTGTACAATTTTGTTCAACTACCATTCTCCAAAAATCCGCCTTCGTGTTTGGTAGAGGTCCTTGTGTCGCAATAAATTGCTTCTTAATGCCCTAGTTTAAATATAATATATATAATATTTTATTTAAGAAACTCTAAAATTCTCCAGACGACCATGTACTCTTTTTAAAATCTGTAGTTGGCCAAGTTAATTTATTCGAATCATAATTATTTTAGTTAGAAAAATTCCCTTTTTCCCCATAAATATATAACATCACGTATAGCCGCTGTCATTTTATCACGTTTTGTACTCACGTTGACGTAGCAAGCATTTATGTATCCATCAACCCCTTGTCCTTTCAGTGAAACTCTGGAGGTATCATCTATGAAAGACGGTATAAAATGATTAAAATAAAAATTAAACATGAGCGTTTTGATTTATCCGCGTGTACCATGTTGGGAATTTAAATTGTTCTATTATATGTCTGGATTTATTAGTGTTTTATTGCGCTTGTAAATTTGTTAAATTTGAGCCGGTGCGCCAGATACCAGATTTTATATTAAATTGCAATTAGCAAATTACAAAGCTTGGAAAAACAAAACAGATATTTCTTTAAAGATTTAATATAACTTACACGGCAATATGTTTTTGTATCTATTTTTCGTCATCATTTCCTCACTTCCCCCTACCGTTGTCGGAGGAGCATTTGCTTTGGATTTTGTTTTGATCTCCTACAAATAATTGATTCATGAATACCGATTTAATACCATAATAATAAAAGAATAACATTGTATATATTTTATGACGAACAAATAGTAACCTTTTATTTTCATTTTGTTAAAATCTTCACTTATCTACCACGTTAAATAGATAATCTCTTGAAAATTACATATATATAAGGCGTGTAATATTATTCTAGAAATTATCTTTATATTTTAATTTTGTGTACTTGAATTGAATACCGTTATAAAATATTTCGATTTTGTCATGTAATACATGAAAAAATAGATATTAGAAAGAGATGCGATTGTTGTTTCAAAACTAAAATAAATATTTATTGCTTGAACAACTTTAGTATATTACTTGGTATTGCTCACGAAACTGCATGTTCTCATCAGCTTTCAGCATCTTGTAAACACTATGGAGCATTCCTAATGGAATATCCGTTTCAGGTCTTGTAATACTTTCTACATTCTCGTATAGTGGCGCATCTAATAAAAACATTTTGAAAAAAATATTATTTAACAATTGTTTGTTTATTTTCTTTATTTTTGGTGCTGTGATAATCCTAAGTCTATTTTCTAGGCACGGGTTTGATAATTTTGATTTTGTTTACAGGGTATCAGTATTAAACTACCTGGTATATTAGTAGCTGGCTGATTTCCCATTGCATAATCATCAGGAATCTTCTTTGCTTGACGCCTGTCAAATAATTGATTTATAATTTTTAAAATTTTTAATTTCTAATTTGTGGGCTATGTTAAATAAATGTCTCTTGTTATTCTGAGAATTTTGTCTTTGAGATGTAACGCTAGATGTAGATTTTCGGGGTGGACAAAGAAATCTAAATAAACGGCACATTAAGAAAAATATACCGTTCGATTGCCTGAATAAAAAAACTTCGTCGATGCTGTCCTAATTACAAGATTCCTATTGATTGAGAAATATGCCTAATTATATTGTACTTACTTTCTCCACATATAATACATTCCTCCCATAATCACTATAATAAGAATAGGGCATATAACAACGGCCGCAATCCATCCCATAGCTGTAATAAAATTGAAATAATGACATTGATATTTTATACTTGATTTATAATGCTAGATCTCAATAACACAATTTTGTTATTTGTATGCAAATAAATAGGTATATGTAGTCAGCAGGTGTCACAGACTCGTCATGCATGCTTTATGGCCTAATTCTGAAAAATGCTGTAATTATTTCAAATAAGTAAACCTTTTTTTAATAATTGAACTACCGATTTCAAAATTTGTATTGCAGTATTAAACTACTCACGCACAGACCCATTGACAAATGAGGTAATTTCACTTTTGCCAAATATTACGTCTTTGCTTGTTGGAGTTGAGGTCACCGTGTAGAAGCTTTAACAGAATGTAATATATGGCTTACATAGATATATGTCTATCTATACCTGTTACAACTTATTTTGAAAACTATAATTTCGTTCATTACAATTTCAAATTTTCTTCTATGATCTATTTTTACAAACTAAAAGGTCTTACAGGAAAAAACACAACCTACCTATAGGACGCCCCATCGGCTTTCAATGGCCAATTATTCCCTGAATATTGTGAAGTAGCTCGTGCACTGCGTTTCTTTATATTTTCGCTTGACCATATTGTTGTAAGATCGCATTCTAAATTTATTTCATCATCACCAAGCGTCGTCGTATAAATTTTATCGTTTCCTATCGTAGCTCTAAATAAAATAAAGCGGGTTCAGCACCAAATAATTTCATTCCTATCTAGCATTGTATTGCCTCGTTTACCTGGGAATAGCAATGGCAAGGTATTCAACTCCTTGTGATACACTTTCTTGACTTGCTGCCTTCTCCAGATCTTCTATTTCAAACGGTTTGTTGCTGTTTGCTAAATTCCCTTGGTTCGCGATTACGAATACGCAACTGGAAAAAGGTATGCTATTAAGTAATACGACGATTTTATGTTATCGTCAAACTGTCACAGAATACCTGAGAAATATAGAATCGTATTCCTAATTTTTAATTTCTATGGACATTACGAATTAAATTCAGTATTGATAACGTTTTTCTGTTCTCTATGGCACATGGTACTGATATATTTCAAGTAATGTAAATTTTATTGAATAATATAACTATTATGTGCAGAATTTGCAATAATGGCCCATACATGTAACGTTTACATTCTAAAGTAATGAGAGAGTGATTGTCACTTGGCACGCAAACACGCAACGCATCTCTAATTTTCAACCACTTCTAGTCACCTTATTGGTCCGTTTTCCTCGTTTGGTATGGTAATATCGATATCTCTTGTTGATAAATCGCCGTTACTCTCTCTTATTATTGGTTCAACAACCTCATTAGGACCTGTTAAATTGTGATACGATTCTATGTGTCAGACAATTTTGATTGAGTAAATATGATTGCAACTCTGAACATTCCAAAATATTCCTCATTATATTTTGTTGAATTATAAGAATTAAAAACGACTAACCAAATTTTTCTGTTTTTGTAATTTACAGACATTCAAAAATATACACCAATGTTAGACGACAAATTTTAAGTCTGAAACAAATATATGCAGAATTATTTAAACGCGTATTCTAAACTCAGAAATATTAGGTTGTATGAGGATCTCATTCATTCATTTTATTTATCCAGAATCCTGAATTTTGCCTTCGCTCACCTTCGCTTTCTGTTATGCATTCCCCCTCTGCGGCTACTGGTAGACCTGCACCAGCACAAGTATATGCCGTTATGTTTACTGAATATTGTCGATTAGATTCTGTTTCAATATAATATTCAAGACCCGATGCAGGTACTTTGACCGCTATTTGCGAAGGTAATGTCTCAGTGTTTGGTGGTTTATACACATATTCTTGATTCCACGCAATCTGAAAGATGTAGACATATATAAGAAAGCATAATTAATTGTACATTTTTTACGCTACGATGAAGAAACTCATTTTAATATTTTTCTGAACTACTTGACTTTTGAATCTACGTAATCTGTAATATATGGATGTAATAAAAGTAAACAATATCGTGCGTTTTTTCTCCATTTTTCAAATTTTTATATTTGATTATACTTTTCAGCCCAATCAATAGAGAGAATTGAGTATCAAAAAAGTCATAAAAAAAGTAACTAAAATGTCTTCATTCTATATTGCGTTAATGCAATCCTAATATAAATAAATTTATATTATAAAATTTTTTTTTATCAAATATTTACCTCGTATTGTAAAATCTGATCGTCTGGTGTGTTTGAAATTTCCCATGATACATGGCAGATATCTGTCGATTTCATTTGAATTTTGGGGTTGTTTACTAACCCAGGTAGCCCATGCCCCGTCGTCGCTTTTGAAGTGTCGTTCAATTTAGTTATGCATTCATCTGGACAAACCTCGGCCTAAGAGAGCCCATATAATTATTTTTCGTTCACAAAAATTTAATCAATCAATTTGAAATCTTTTTAATATAACCTTCCCCACACTTACCTTTATTAAGTATTCCGTGAAGGGATGTAAATTATTGAATTCAACGTCTTTACCATCTACTGCAGTTTCATTCGTGTTGTCAGATGTCGTGGAGTTTTGACTTGTCACTGTAAAACTAAAAAAAAGGTATAATTACCAAACGATTAATGTAGTGCAGACATTTGAATATTAATAGAGAATAAATACAAACATGTGATTTATTCCTATAGTTTGATTGTTAGGCGTCCATCTTATGGTTAGTGTTCCGTTACTGCTGCATGGCGTCTCATTCACTTCAATAATATGTGGAGAACCGTAAACTGGAGAGGAAAAATTATAATGGCTATTGCATGGAAACTAAATTGTTGATACAAAATATAGAACTGGTCGAAGTGTTTGATGTGAATTTCCGAAATGATTATCGCTTTTCGAAACTGAACATTTACAAACAAAAATAAACCTGAGACTTTGGTATTATCTTCTCCAAATACTTCTGTTGCTCCTTCACCAACATAATTTGTGGCACTACAAGTATAATTTCCATCGTCAGATAATTGTGCTTCGGCGATATACAAAATCGCGTGAGTTTCTTCGTGATATTGGTAGACTCCCGAACCTTCTTGCAGAGAAACGTTCACGCCATTTATCATCCATGTTGTTTTTGTTGGAGACGGGTAACCAGAGGCATTGCATACAACATGTCTTGGACCAGTTGTGACCGGTGAGAATATCGTGTATGGATTTATGTTTGTGATGCTGACATTGACTGAAATAAAATATGCATTGCTAGTATCACCGAATAATACAAATATTGAAGTTTACCATAAATAAAATGAAATAGGGTTCCATTTGATAGCGGAATAATTAGCATGTCAATAAAGTTGAATATAAATCTTTTGACGCTGACATCATATTTTTAAATGGAATTTCACATGATAAAATTTTGTTAGGGTTCTCAATGATATGTCGTTTGAAAAAATATGTGTGTTGGATTTCATTGATTATGGTTATCAAAACCTCATGTTATTACTATGCATATAATTTATACGCCATTATGTACATAAAAACCTATTTTTGTTAGTTTTACCAGATTTCCTCGCATGTTTTATTTGCATTCGATCGTATATTACAGCGCATAAATATTATGACTATATCAATGAAATATTGAAAGTATGTAAATGCTTAGCGTTTCACTTTTCCGTAGAATTACAAGTCTTACCGTGAATTATCAATTCCGTTGTGTCATTTCTTTGATAGTCATTCGATGAAGAATAGGCAATGAATATATAGTTTCCTTCGCTTGATTTGTCTATGTTTTGGAGTATGAACTGCGCGGTTCCATTGGTAACATTATTCTGTATATATATGGGAATTTCAGAACTAATATCTCTATGTAGCTCAACCGTCAAAAGACCGTCATATGTTGTAACATTGAACAGCAAAATGGCGTTTCCTTCAGCAATGGCAATAAGTGATTTAATTGTTTGAATCTTTATTAAATCTGAAAATAAAATGTTTTGAACATCAGTTATGTAGCATAATTGGCTAATTTACATTGATTCCACACCTTTTTTTATTTGCTATGATAGAAATGTGAGGCGCGCAATAGTTTCGGTGATTACAAAAATATCTTTCGTCAAATAATGAAATGGACCAATTCGTATTGTAAAAGAATATGTTACCCAACAAGGATATGTTTTGAGAAATGTTTGCCAATAGAATTTTTGTAATCACATTTACGGTGTTTACTTAATTTCAAACATATTATACAAGACACATTATTCGTTCAGGCATATTTCGTATTTAATGATCTAATTCCTCATACCTTTTGAACAAATGTCACTGAAGTATCCAGCTGAACAATCACATTTATAGTAAGCATCACTATCATTCACTGATACACAGATTCCTCCGTTCAAACATGGGTTATCGTTGTGATCGCAATATTCTAACGAGAAATAATGTTCATTAAGTTAAATAAGTTCCACTCCAATTATTACATGTATATTTTATTCCCCGATCTATCAATACCTATAACAAAAATCAGAGAAAACATTGGAGAAAATACCGTCTTGAATGGTTATTTTCTTTAATTCTGAGAGTAATTTCTCAACGTTTTATGGCAATATTGTTTTGGTATAGTTAAGACACTACTCTGAAATATCAAAAATTAAAACTATAAAGAATTGTAGATTCAGAATATAAATGCGATTAACTAAATAATATATTTAAAAAACAAGCAACATATTAGTCTAGTGTTTTTTATCTTTGCGAACCTGCCGAACCCCTACGTTATTATGCAGGCTTCCGTCGAACCGCAACGTTTTGATTACTTAAAATTAGAGGCGCAACCGGAACATTTCAACAATACATCTACTTTTCTGCAGGGTTATAGAAAATGCAACCTTCAATCAATAAATTTTTAAATCATTGCTGAGTTTTTAGGGTTATATTATAAAAATAACAAATCAACAAATATCAAACAATATCATCCCCCTTGGTGAACCACTGGTAAAAAGAAATACCTATTAACTGAACATAGACATACGATGATGGCCTATTCTTGGTTGTCAGGTTTCACAAAATATGATCAAAGTTTTTCAAAGCAAAAATTAAGAGTCTGAGTAATGAATAGGAAGACTTGGTAATATATAACTGTTTCAGGGGATCTTCGTCGACCCCCTTGAACAGCTCCGCCCAGGTGGAACACTGCACAAATCCCAATATTACTTAAGCAACGGTAACACACATGCTTGTATTTTACTATAAAAGGTTGGGTTTGAACAATATTTTGAAAGTGACGCTTTCCATGGGAATAAGATAAACATTTCATTCTCGGATAGTTATTCTTTACGTTCGTTTAAGTTTAATGCCTAATAAAATTACCTAATATTATTAATGCCTAATATATATATACTTACTATAAAAGAGTGGGTAAACACGACATACGAGAAGAAGAAAAATCCAATAGCAAGGCACAGCGACTTGCTCTTAAAAGCATTGAGTAAACAAATTGTCTGCTCTCTACTGTATGTTATAACAGAATATAATCATATTTCAATTCAAAATGCAGTTTGTCACTAACGATAGCTATAACCCGATGTTTTTGTAAAAGTCCGGCAGGCAACATATTTATAATGATTTTTAATTATAGTCTCGTTTTGTTTTTTAATTATTCCCACTTCAGGTTTGCAATACTCACGATCGCTAGAGCAGTTATATCCGAAGAAACCCGGCATGCAGTCACATTCATAATACGGAGGCTGTTTTGGTGTATTCTCACAGATTCCGTTCTGACAAGGGTTTTGATTGTTTGGACAGTATTCTAAAATACAAAATCAAATTGTCGCCTTTACACCGGTCTATACATAGAATGTTGTAAATAATAAAAATCAATAGAGTCGTTCAAATATAAGCTCATTTGTTCATATGTCAAGAATATTGTCGCAGTCCCAATAAATTTGACTATATTTCTGAATATCATGACAGGCATTTGTAAAGATTATTCAATTTTATCAGATTTAGATTCAAATAGTATATTTTTTAACGCACGACTCTAAGTAAAATGATCAGGTAAGATACTTTAACATCATAACTCACTGTCTTGGTTAGGGTCGTGCTAAAAGTTGCGAACGTGGAATTACTTAAAACGTGGCTGGGAAATTTTTCTCCCACAATTTGCATTAATGGCGGCGGCTTTTCTTAACTCAAAGGCGCAAATACTTGAAACGTGGCGATTGCAATCTGCAGTACGTAAAAACATGGTGAAGGAGTTTTTCTCAAATCTCCCATTTTTGCCTCAGTAGTGGGGGATTTCTACAAAAAATCTAACTTTGCTGAGTGACATGTAATAGCAAAAAACATATGACCGAGTGAGGAATAACGTCAATTAGAAAATAAATCAAAATTTGTGAATATATATTTCTCCCATTGGGAATAGGACTTGAGTAAACTTTTTTCACTCTTCATTAGTTGCAGATGAATGAACAACACATATTTCTCGCTAAATTAGAATAGTATCTGAAGCAAAATTTTAACTTAGTAAAATAGATAAGCATAAAGAGCACATTTATTGCTGATGCAGAGAGATTATATTACTCGTAACAAATTTTATCGAACCTGATGTGATATTATTTGCATATCATGTTGATTGAGATTCAACAATATTGATAACACGAATAGCTCTGTTTTGCAGAATTTCAATAGATATAAGTAAAATACGTTTCAATAACGTTTCTGCTTTTTTATTATTCAAAGATTTACTACATAAAATCAATGTTCTTAAGGTTATTGTGTAATTTGTCATTCACGATTAGTTGCAGTTACAAATATTTTTAAAGCTACTTTGGAGTCAAATTATAAATGCATCGAGGTGTTCAACAAACCATTAGTTGTCAAAATATAATTTTCAATAAAAACTATCATCATCTGTATACAGATGTATATTACTAAATCGTATACAAAAAGCAACGGACCCTTGAAATATTCATACCTAAGTCTATATATCTATTTAAACAATAACAAGTATTAACGGTTAGGAGTTCCCAAAAAGGCAATTCAGTTTTTCTTTTTAATCGTATTTGGGTGTACAAGGTAGACCTAATATTTAACCAAAGACAAAACAAAACTACGAATTTTGTTACTCACCATCGCTGGAACAGATGTCGTTGAAATATCCAGGAGTACAAGCACATTCATAGTAAGGAAATGTCCCTGGTGAATTCTCACAGATTCCTCCATTTTGACAAGGATTTACAACATTGTTCGGACAGTATTCTGAAATTCATACGAGACATATCATTAACCATGTCCGTGCAACTATGCCGATTTTATTATCTTAAATATTCTCAACCGCTAAGATAATTATCTCAAGATGGGGTGTACTAGGTTATTGTGATCTAACGAAAGCTTTTAATAAACTTACTATTTTGTAGAAAGAGGTTATGTTATTCTTATTTATAACTATCTCATTATTTATCGATCTTGATCGGTAAGTATGTTGATAGGTATTTGTTTTGTTTGTCTGTCTGTTAGACACTTTCGTATGATACGCGATACCCCATGAACGCGAGATTGAATCTGCTCCAAATTTTGCTTGTGCATTCATCATATCTCGGACCAAAAGCCTATTGATTTTGAATTGAATTATGTCGTATATTGATCGAGTTGATAATTAATTAGTGATGGGACACACGGTGTCGCTATGGAGTAGGAGCGGATGAATCGAAATCGAAGTTTCTGTTTTGGAGGAACCCCTTAAATTTCAATTGATAAGTCTTCGGTCTCCGACCGATATTCTCGTTTAACTTATTGACGAGAATATGAAACCTTCAAAATTAAAATTCCTGTCCCGATATAATAACCTAATTGATTAATTATTAATTCCAATTCAAAAAGTAGTCAGTTAGTCGATTGCCAGAATCCGTTATTGTCTTAGTAGCCCAACATCACATATTTAATGGAAATTAAATAAATAATATATACTTCAGTTTAACAATACTTACCATCGCTGGAGCAGTTATATCCGAAGAAACCCGGCATGCAGTCACATTCATAATACGGATATTCCCCTCGTGTATTCTTACAGCTTCCGTTTTGACAAGTGTCTGGATTGTTTGGACAGTATTCTAAAATATGAAGGTAAATTTTCATTAGTTCCATTCTTGCCATTTCTAAATACGATGCAGGAGATAAATACTCGAAACGTATATTAATTTGACTATTACTAAATACTATGACGTAATAATCGCGTACAAAATTTAATTGAATTTTAGTAAGATTCCTACATTGCGATAGATTAACAGTTAGCGCAAAAATTAATTAATGAAAGGCATCAAAATAAGTCTGTTTGAGTCACCTTGGTCATTGACATCAATTATGCAGATTTCAACACTATGGTGTCAAACGAACAATAAAAAACGTAGACTTATTATTGATGATAAAGCATAAAAGTAAATAAAATTTAAAAGTAAAATAGATAAAACTTTAAATAGATTTAAAATTGTTACTCACCATCACTAGAACAGGTGACGTTGAAATATCCCGGCTTGCAATTACATTTATAGTATGGATCGGTTCCTGGCATATTCTCGCAGCTTCCTCCATTTTGACACGGATTTACATTATTCGGACAGTATTCTAAAAATAATAATGTGATATAAAATATTAAGCTGAACTGTTAACATCAATTAGAAAATGATTGGCTATAATGTGTTTGATAAGTTACCTAACTGCACTGCCTTTTTTGCAACTGCCTGCACATTTTTCGGATGAAAGAAATATTGAATGTTTGGTGCACTATTTGCATGACAAAAATGTAGGACTAGAACTGTCGCCATACTGTTATTGTCATTGATTAAAATAATATTATGATGTCATATTAAGTCTCTTAGTTGCAAACAGATTTTTCATTTTGCGTGCTTATTATTGAAGTTTCATAACAATACCAATGTCGATCTTAGATATTTTCACGCTCGTATCTTGGTCCATGTTGCAAAGATGTAGACAATTCAATAAATCGCTATAGACTCACCATTGCTTAAGCAGGTATCGCCGTAGAATCCATCTGCGCATTCACACCATCTATAAGACACACAACTACCTTCATTTTGACAAGTGCCAGAATTGCCCGTGCAATAAGCTAAACAGATCAAAAAAAAATTGAAAATTCATTTTACACTTTTTATGGGTCTTCTAATTTCAAAAATGCAGAATGAGGCGATAACATTTTATTACTTATCAAAGATGCAGAAAAAAAAACTAATATTAATAAAATAAAAATTTGCTAATGCTAATAGTTTCGGCTTTGTGATTATTATTATCCTTTTGAGCATGGTTGAATTTTAATTCAGTGTCGTTTTAGCTCAGTTGTTTAAAGTAAAAAAAATACTGATTTAAAATTTTTAAATCGTCGTAAGAAGTATATGTAAGTATATAGATCGGATAGTATTGCAGGCCGTTTAAGTTTGTCAAAAACCTCAGTTTTTTAGTTATGATAAAAGAAATAAAATACCGTTTGTTACTAAAATTATATTACCTGTAGATTGACATATATATCCTATTGGGCCCCCACACACTGTGTCACGCCATTTGTTTTGATCGGTCCTAACACAATCTTTGCCACTATCTGATCCTTCGCCAGTGCCCCTATAAATTTGATCTTAATATAGTTCATAAATTGCTGCCATTAATATTCAACATGTTTGTTTATATTCACTACGTCAATTGATTTAATTATCTTCATATATATATATTTGTATGCATACAGACAACTCTTTTTTAGTTAAATTCTTATGTTATTTAGAAAGAAATATAATTTGTGTTAGATTGAAAAAGATCAAAATACTTAGTTTGCTTTTTATCATAACAATATGTAAGTATTGTTTTGACGTCGTAATTACTTTCAAAATTAAATTCCGTATAAATATCATTTACATTCAATCAAATACGAGTGGTAATTGAAAGGCGATTAAACGAACATTTTGTGCAATTTTATTCAAGGTCTACAAGTTTCAGACTTCAGTATAATATTTTTGATTCTTTATTTTATGGTATTGCAATTCAGATCAATATAGATTTTGGAACCGAGGATGATAATGAGTTCTGAACGTAAATTTTAAACATCGACTACTGATGTCAAATGCCAAAACGGCTGAATAAAATCTTACCAATCAAAGTAAGTTGTTGCTGATCCATCTGTCCATCGATATGCCCCATCAAAATATTTCAATCCGATATGATAAAAGACTCCATTTCTGTGATAACAATATTGAGAATGATTTACATATTAATGAAGTCTGAATCAGTTTGAAATTCGCAACTTATTACAAATAGTACTAATATACAGATGCCTATTTGCGATGTCATAAACCTAATAGCAGATTGTAACGTTACGATAGATTAATGATTGACCTGATTAGTCGTATTTCATATTTAAAACTTATAGTAAAGCATGCACAACCAATGTCATAATACTGTGAACCACACTGAGTAAAACAAATATACCCGATCAAATTCTGTACAGCACTGTTATACGTCGCATCATCTGCATCAACAAGATTCCCGTTCCACAATGAGCATCTACTCCTTGCTGCTGCATTTCCTATTTTATTGTTATATTTTTCAAGAAGATCTCCATTGTAAGTAGTTGCTTCACTCGGATCTTTGATGTAAGAATATAATAGATTAGATCGGTATCGATAATGATGGAAACAGCAGCATTTGAATCAGGATACGATTTTATAATTTTATCAATAAATAACTTGATGATAAACTCTTTATATCTCACGCAAGATATTTTTGAATGCAATGTTTATACAATTTACCAAATTAATGTTAAGCTTTGGATGCCGATTTTCGAGAACGGCTTCTTATCTTCGAACATAGGTTAAGATCTGTCAGTATTTTTAATTCAAGGACAAGCTTGGTTAATACTTATTAGTTTAGAGTTATAACGACCACATTTTGATATACGAAACTAAATAACGAATTTATATATTTTATTTGTAAGTGGCAGCAAATCAAATCCAGTGGCAACTGCAAGTAATATGACGCATGCGCAATGTACAACAAAAAAGAACCTTGAATTCCTGCAGTAGAATTGTTTTTACAATATCTCAAATCTTTGAATTATTTTGTGTTTTAACCAGTTCAAAATGTGTTGACAGGAACTTTTGTCTTATTTCTATATCACTCACTTACATGACTGACAGATATATTTAAATGTACCACCACTACAAACATCATCGATCCATCCGTCACTTAGTATACAAGCACAGTCTTCGTTGGTATCATGACCTTCACCTGTTTTCCTTCAATGTAAACAAATACATACGAGTCATTGAATGAAGATTAAGTTTTATAGTTTAGTTAATAGTCATATGGATTTAAGTAGAAGTATGAATAGGCGTCGTACAAAAAAGAAATAATATGACTTTAAGTTAAAATTTATGTTCGAATCAATAATATTCTTTCATCTTTAAATTAATAACAAACGTAGAATATTTATTTTAAAATAAGGAAACATTATCTTGGCTGAAGCCCACTTAGCACCCCGAATCTTTCCGACAAGCGAAAATGCCAGATGTCGACGTTTCTTATTATATATTACTTAGAGCTAATATTCATATTGTGTTACAGACTAGCAGATAAACCTGGGAAATGTCCCAGGTATATTTAATTGGAAATGTGACTGAATAATGTATTTTCCGTTGGAACATACAATCTTATATTTTATGCGTGTTATCGGTATTGTTTAAAATAATATTTGTCAATGAATTTTTATTTATTTAATAATAATATCTCGAGACTGTTATCAGCGCCTTACATGAAATAAACATATATAAATGCCCCGGTTATAATTAAACCACTTTTCCTTATCAGAGTTCACCATTCTGAAGTATGTATCAGATTTTCATATGTCATGAAGTTTTTAAAAAATCATGACTGTAAATCCTAGTCGCATACCACGGATTATATTGTTCATATGTTTTCAATTTTGTTGCTGCATTTTTGATACTTGCTCTACAGACAACAAATTTACAAATTTGATATCAATTTCACAGTAACTTCGCGACGTACAATGAAATACAATATGCCCGTTATCAAAGTTTGAAATGGTATATTTTTCGGCATATTAAAATTCACACCAAAACAGGCAATGAGCCATTTTCAAACGTAAAACCTAATTTACAAATGAAGTACGACCTGCCATTTAAATAGATTTTATTATACTGGAAGGTCGATAAGCTCATAAATAAAATGGTCTTGTACAAATGATCAACACTATATTGACGCAAAAAAGTATTCTTAACAGTGTGTTTAGATTGTCAAGACATTGCCCATTTGCAGCGCAAATACGAATTGTTTATGAAAATCATACCTTATTTCGATATATGAATGTATGAACCAAGCTTCGAGTACATACCAATTATCATAGGTGATTGCTGTGTTGTCGCTGTTGTATTCCCACACATCATTTGATGTCGAATATTGTATTCCCATCAGGTAAGATCTTGTATCAGACCTGCAGTAATGGGTATGATTTGTTAAGACTCGCAATAACATTTGACACATCATTCATGACTGAAATTAGATTTTGTACTTTACTTATCACTCACCCAATCCATTCAATTATTTTATCGTTCATAGTTTTATCCTTTATCTCAACCAACTGAGCACCTCTCATTGCACATCTATCATCAGCAATTGCATAATTCTGAACCTCTTCGGCGAATCTTTCCAGAAGATTTCCATAAAGTATTATTGTTGAGGATGGAGGTTGAACTAAATATACACAAATAAATATAAAAAAGAAACATAATTTGATAAGTGGAGAAATTACGACTGTTTGAACATATAAATCGGTTCAATTGTCCGTTAGTGTTAAATAATGACGTTTACCCAGTGGCGGCGCGTGGTCATTTTGACAACCGGGGCAAGCTACTGCGGTACCAAGTCACCCCCATCTACGGGGACAGGATGAGCGCTGTAAGTTCTCCCATTATTTTATGAGTAAAAATACCATTCCATCGGTAACAACCAATCGGCAAAAGCGACAATTTTTAACGATAAGAAAGTGTCTTTAAAACCGGTCCAAGTCAAGGGATTAATAAATATAGACATAGTTTAATTTGAAACCTCTTTCAAAAGGAAAGGCAATATTTACCCAGATAAATACAATGACATATTAACAGAAACTTCGGGAAAGCAGACAAAACCTAAAATAAGGTTTAAAACGTTACTATGAAGAAAGGAAAGTTAATGCAAAGATAAGGACATGCGTCGGTCACTCATAGATATATATGCTGCTAGACTTCTACTTATGCAACACGCCGCGGTTTCTTGGAAGCAAAATGCTCAATAAGGCGCTGATTAAAGTCATGCATCCCAGAAATAACGTCTCTGTGAATGGATAAAACAGCCAAGGAATTTAATCTATCCTGCTTCATTGTGTTTCTGCGATACGTTTTAATACGCTTCAGCGTGCTGAATGTTCGCTCTGCGTCGGCGGAAGAAATAGGCGTCGTCAAAATGATGTCCAGAAATTTTGCAGACGCCGCAAAGGTAGTTACTAGAGTGTTATCTATAAGGAACCCATAGAGCGCGCAAGTTGATGTGATGTTCAAAAAAGTTTGATTGGTGTATATACATCGCAATTCATTTTTCAATTTACCCACGTTTATCATGGGTTAAAATTTGGAGACAGTAGCCAACAAATGGATGGGAAATTGACGTGCAAATTTTGAAAAATTTTTGGGGTTCATCAAAGAGAACGCGGCAAGGTGTTCAGTGCGCAGACGATCGCCTATTTGATTCACCAGAATGTCACAGCATTCCTTTGCAGACAAAATCAAACGCTGCGTTGTTTGCCCGCGGCGTAAAGAAGCACTCCATGTGTCGTCGTATTTTATTGTTTCCCGGATACGAGATACAGCATCGCAGAAGTCTGAAATACACGACTGCACAGACGCTCCATCCATTAGCCTTGACTGCAATGCGCCGTATAATACATCCACGTGATAGAATATTGTGGAGAAAATAGCGAGAAAAAATGAAAACTCACCATCTTCTAGCAGACGCTTTAGACTTGCCGCCTCCCTCACAGAGCGTTCGTCCCAAACCGGAGAGCTCTGAATGCCATTGAAACACTCAATGAGCTCAGACCTAATTTCGGACACGCTCTGCACCACGCGTGATTGGAAGTTCCAACGTGTTGGTGCACAAGCTGGGAGACGGCGGCTACATATCTGGCGAAGGAGGTCAGAACGCTTCGGCGAAACGGAAAAAAATGAAGAAAACCCCGAAACATTTGCAAAAAATATACGGACGAGAGGGGTATCAAGACACATATTTTTAATAACGAGGTTAAATTGGTGTGCATAACAATGCAAAAATGCGCATGAGGAAAATCTTCTTTTATATAAACTTGAACACCATGTTTCGACCCACTCATGACTGCCGCGCCGTCATAAGTTTGAGCTATTAATTTTGACTTCGCGTTGTAAGGCTATAACACTTTTTTCAGTACAGCCAATATCCCGCAAGCCGTGCGATCAACGATTGGTACAAAGCTGTGAAATCTCTCGGTAGGTTTACCATCCTTCACAAACCAAAAAATCACAGCCAGTAGGGAAACGCACGTGATGTCAGTTGTCTCGTCAGACTGAATCGAAAGGAACAGGCAATTCTCAATTTCCAGAGCCAAATGTTGTAAATAAATTTTATACATTGAGTCGAGCAAATCATTTTGGATATCCTTAGATGTCCCTTTCAAAACAGTTGCGGCATCAAATTGATCTCTCAATACTGTATCTAGGGATGCGGTGTATTCCACCATATCCAAAAATACCCCTCTATTAGAAGAGCCAGCCCGTTCATCGTGCCCACTGAGGGACAGCTCGTGACAACCAATGGACTTCAAAACATCTATCAATCGACCGAGAACATGGCGGTTTTTCTCGACGTTTTGGTTGTGCCGACGAATAGAAACCGCGCGTCCTTCATCCAACTGTGCTGCAATATTAACATTTCCGAATGTTCGGTATTTTACTGCATTGTCCAGATGCTCCATAGAAGATTGATGATCCCTGGCACGCTCGGAAAGATGTTTAAGATAGGTAGCAAAAATAGGCAATAAAAACAAAAAAGTGCATTTTTGTCCTCGCTGTAACACAACCATTCGTGTTTTTTTATACCAAGTTTCTGCGCAGAATGTACGCCGACGCTTTCCTCCTTCATGGGATTGTTCCAGTGAACAATTTTTTGGTTGATAAGGCCCAAGACGTAGTACCTCTAATTTTTGTTCCAGCGGCAGCTGCGAAAACGGAGTGCGAAGTAGTGCATCAACCTTATTCATTATGAGGTCTAAGGCTAAGAAATGCGAAGCCGGAAAGAAGTGAGGAGCTCAAAAGTAATGTGGAAAATCGAAAGCAAATGGACTAAAGGTCTCTAACTGATTCAAATAGCGACACAAGCGACAAAAACGAAGGCGAGGAAACTATCAACTCTTCAAGCAACCAACGAGACGAGAACGAGAAGGAATGCGTGAATATGTCAACACGTTGTTGTAAGAAACGTCGGCATTGTGTCGTCATAATTTCGGGGCTAGCCCCGATCGGCCCCGATGATCTAGTAAAAGAAACAGAAAACAAACGAGACAAACGCGGCGAGTGGAAGATGGAAGAGAGAATACGATATACAATGAGCAACCGGGGCAAAATCGGCGTCGCCCCGTCGACCTTCGGCGAAGGCTTTGCGAGCGAAAAATGAACCATGTCGGGAGAATATGGCTAGTGTAGACAGTCTGTGCAACCGATATTGAGGTATTTTTCGAATATTTTTTATTATACCGAAAAAACAACCGGGGCATTGCCACGGTTGGCCCTATTGACGCGCCGCCACTGCGTTTACCCATTGTGCTACCATGCATTGCAAAATTCTGGCTATTACCCAAGTATCTATCAGTTGTTCAGCAGTTTTTTTGTGTTTACATTTTTGAAATGTTTCCACACACTTCCTCTATACAGAGAAGTTATACGATCTCGTTATGTTTTTACATTTTCTGGAATGCTTCTACTATCTTGCTGTAAATTTATAAAACACATAGAAAACATTGCGTGTACTAACTATCTTTAATTCATTTGATTGCAAGGCAATGCATTCCCTACTCCAGAGTCGAGCAAGTAACAGTATGTACAAATTATAATCTCACGGGATTGACAAACGTATCTTCTTGGAGTTGTAGAACAGATCACGCTAACCCATTTTTTGTTCCGAACACATGCACAAGCTTGACCATTCTCGCCTGGTTCCACGGTATTTAACCTGTTTAATTATACTTGAGTATAAATTATTTCTAAAGCCTTATACTATTGTTAAATACAACTGTTAAATTGGACAAATATATTCTATGCGTTTATATACTTTCAAAATTCTCACCCATACTAAAATCCCGAACATTGTACACGTTAATTTAAAATTCAATGAAAACTTTGTGATGTTGCTTTTTGTTTTTTATTGGACACGTAGTGGACATAACGATCGTTTCAAAATTTTGTTGTTATTGTTATTTGTCTCCATCATTTTTGAAAAAATCGCTTTTCTCTTCAAATACTGGACCAATTGCTTTGAAATTTTCAGTGGTTGAAGATAAAATTTTTCCCCAGAAGGCTATTACTTTTATTCATTATAAATATTTCTGTTAGCTCTGTGAGATTTGTTTTTGTTTGCTATGACGTCATTAAACGTTCTGCGGACATCGGACGCCATTTTGTGTCCTACTGTACTGCTTTGCTTGGTGTGAATATATTTGTAGACTGTGATCTGACGGTACGGTAAACCGTACTGTACTGCGAACAGACGTGTCCATATATCTGGGCGTAGCTCTCTTGTTTTATTTATCAATGTTTTGTTTTAGTGGAGTATAGCCGTTTTTTTAATCAACCCAGCAAATATTTCATTAACAAAAAATTTACCGATATTTTAACAATGGATCGTTCAAATCGATTTCATATTTATATTAGAATATACTTTGCACTAATTTAAACGAGCTCACCAATGAGTAGTTGTCGGCTCACTGTAATCGCTCCATTTCCAATAACCGTCAAGCTTCCTGAGACCCATCAGATAATATCCACCATTAGCCGGTCTGATTGAAATATATAAATATTCTTTCATGAACAATTCAATGTTTTAACTTTTACAAGGAGTTTACTCTACTATTTAACAAATATCTGTCTCATAATCACTATACAAGCTGATTTAAAACATTTGAAATCGTGGAATAGTTCTCTGGTATCCCATTGTTCCGATTAGTAATTTACCGATTAAAATTTTTTTTATCTCTTATATTGTGTTATTGAAATCACTTGAGTTAACATAGTTAGTGAGTTTTTAATGTTATTCTATTGTACCAATCTTTCGAGTTATTACATTTAAAGCACAATAAAAGTCATAAATATATCAAACTATAAAATGAGTCATCGTTGAGTATTATATATTAATAATAAAAGCTATCCGTTCCATGGTCAAGTTTTTACGTTTTACCATTGAGTGCCACGGTGAAAACGACAGAGCTTCTCGCCTATTTATTCTCTCTCGTATTTCCTTCTTTATTTGATCGGAGATGGTGTGAACCTAGTGATGTCACCAGTTGTTTGCGACATTCAACTGACACTTATCATAAAATTTAGTGAAACCGAACTTGATATACATAACAATAGTAATATATAAATAAGGTAATAAAGAGTGAAAACTAATTACGTTTAAAGATTGTTATATGATATTAACAAAGTATTTAAAGGTCGCCTGTGTAATGGTGCATTTATTGTGGTTTTATTCTAAGAAAATGTTCAGAACCAAATATTATCAAGTTCAATGAATTTTGGCTCACAAAATGTTATCTGTTAATTCGTCGAATAGATCATCGGTTTTGGGTTCAAACAGCCACGCTCCACGAACAGTGCATTGCTTTTCCGCGTCACTTGATAACTTTTCTGTGTCGAATCTTTCGAACAGATAGCTATCATAAAATTTTGTTGCATCTAAAAATACGTACATAACAGTCATATGGGAGATGTATTAATATAAGAATTCTTAAATGTGCATAAATGTTGTATATACAACAAATGATGCGAATATTAGAGCGAGTCTAAACAATAATTTTAATTGCTTTAAATTCATAGTAGCTACGTAGATAATGCACGTGTTTTGTTGTTGAAATGTAACAGAAGACTTAATGTCGAAAAATAACTCTGTTTTATTGTCAAACGTCATCACTTGTAGAAGATAAATGCTTAACTTATGTTTACAGTAGTTCAACTTTAATCCCCAAAAATCTTTTCGTTTTTGTTACAAATCTCCAAATCCTGAATTAAATTGAGTATTGAGTCAAGTTCAACTTCGGAAAAATTTTGAGGATTTTAACTCTAGCCTTGTCAAAGTACAATCAAGTCACAAGTCAATCCGGATGTGTACTGCCAAAGTTATTGTTATAAACAACAGTAAAATATTACCTCTTTTCATGAACACGACCCTTACAAAGTTATAGCACTAACAACTATGCAAACTTTTGTCATACAACAGTTACATACGTGTCAAATCATAATTCATCAAGGCTTTTTTGTTATTTTTTTTGACGGTTTTGAGCAGCACAGTAGAGTACGAGTCAATTCGCTCAGATTACTCCCATAAAGTACTAGTTTCCCGATTGTTGTTAACTAAAACCAGCTCGATCTGATACAAATGGGCGTGTATGAGGTCATGTAAAAATAAACTTCGATACATACCTTGAGGCCTCACAGTTTTCAATATTGACACAATTACAACGATACTTGTCCAAGCTATCTTTCTCATGCTCAAATTTACACCAATGTGCATATAATCATAATCTTTAGTCAGATATAATAGAAGAATTATAAATACTCTTTACATTTTCGATTGAATAAATACTTTCTATGGCATATCTTAAGTCTTTTATGATGTCATTATTTCTTTCATATCTGACTATTCATTTGTATATTTTAAGCATAAAAATGCATATTTTAAAGGTTTACTGATTGTTGAAGTATCCTGTGAGCCAGATATTATGCTAGAAATTAAGCAGCGAGATACCATGGCAATTGAAGATAGATATTTTCTACCATATGCTAGAATGAATATACCACTGAATCCATACTATGCTTTGTATGAATAGATTAATTAGCTTCTCAAAATTTTATTTTCTAGTAAATAATATTATCTATATTGGTAATATTAAACTAACTTTCACTCGCAAAATTACTTCCATATTATTACCAAGCGATTCACTTTACATAGATGCTTTCAAATACCTCGCGATGCATTGTTTCAAAAAAGTTCAAATAGCTCCACGTATTAACATTAGGTTTGGTTAACGGAGCGTCGTGGAATTTATTGCATCTCTAATCATGTTTGTTGTGAAACTTTCAGCTGATTTAACGCAGACGAAGATAACAATATAAGTTAAAATCCAATTCCTGAAATCTCCAGAACTTTGAAATACTGATCTTTCATTATACAACAGTCTAACGTTACTGGCGATGTTCAACGTTTATACTGGACTCATACTGTCTGATACAATAGCGAATGAAAGGTTCCGCGATTTTATTGCTAAGTGAAACACTTCGATCGGTAAATAATAAATATTTGCTCAAGGTTTTCTGTGTAAATTCGTGGCGTGTATATCTCTATCGTTTTAACGATACAAAACTCATTGGTGAACACTAAATCGCAATTCATTGTTCGTAACATTTTATAATTTGAATTTTTTTTTGTTATAGTAATACCAAATAACTCAATCAATATATAAATTTATTTTAACTTGGTAAATACAAAGCAATATAGAGAATGACAATATTTGATAACCTTAAAAAACTATAATAAATAAATTGTCCTTATTCTTCAAATGAGTTTTTTCTACATTCCCACTCTAGCTACTCAAGGCTATTGATACAAATGCGCCCATTCGTCAATTTAATTAAAGAATAAATATATATAATTTTCAAGCCCTCTGTCGCCACCGTACGCATGTATGTTTTCAGATGACTGGCAATCAGAAGGAAGCCTTAATATCTCACATGTTGATACTAGCTTAAATTACTTCTATAATAGTACGGTCTAGTATATATTTTACTTTTTTGGCTTTCAATTTCATATCATTGGGTGCATCAGAGAATGATAAATTGTACAATTGACATTGTTTTTAAATTTCATAGGACAAAATTATAATCATTTGTGTTGAAATTATGAATGTAAATGTGCCAGAGTGCAAGGTATTGCAAAGTCCAAATATGCGAAATCATTCCAAATAAAATTAGAAAGAATTATTACCACGCTTACAGTTTATGAAAGTAATAAGCAACTAATAAAATACTGTTCGTACATAGGAAAAATAGTTTAATGTGATATTTTTATGGATATAAATTCAAAAAGTACAAATATTGTAGTATTAATAGAAATCAAATGTCATGAAAGTTTCCAATTTTAAAGAGATTCATTATTCCACTGACCGATTAAAGCGTTTATATTATATTTACTAGGAAAAAATCTGATAACCTAATATTAATTTTAGGCAAATTAGGATTTGCTCAATTGGGTCCCTCTTATAATCGTTGAACTGAGTTTGAGATATAGAGAAAGATATTATTTGGTTCGTTTCAATAATTCTGCCGTCAGTTTTTTGCAGGAATGAAGGGGCCCCCTTTTGAAAAAGTAAGGGTTGCAAGTCATGTGCGGGTGCAAATATTTTTAGAAAGTTGAAAACCGAACGGATGATACTTTTTATAATAAATATAAGGCAGTGATACATCTCTCGAATAAAATATAGATTTATTTCCTCATCGCGTTGCATCTCGAAAAATTCCATTCGAATAGTTTCGGCGTCATTGAACCATTTGCACTTAGGATCAACTTTTCTGCGTTTTGTAGACATTGGTCTAATTATAATTAAATTATAGGCTCATTAAAACGAGTAATTGTGAAGTTTATACTAATACATTAAATTTTGTTAAGTAAAGAATATCATCGTCAAAACAGCTGTTTTGTTACTATAATTCAGTGAAACGTCGCGGGCCGGATTATATTACTTCGCGGACCCGATCTGGCCCGCGGGCAGTAGGTTGCCGACTCCTGCCCTATTAAATTGAAGATACGTCTTATTACTGCGTCTGTACAATGAATGGTATACCGTACCAATTTTTCAACAAATAAATTATGTCTGTATGTATATTGGAATCTCCTACCGACTTACGAATTGTACCAATATTTTCAACTGTTAAATGCGAAGCAGATCGTTTCGTCCTTATAAAAAGCTTTCCACGAAATCTGATATAACGTTGTAAATGAGATTTATTAATTTTCCATATATTTACGTTTAACTACGATGCGTTTGAGATTTCGATATCATAGCCGGCTCGATATTTATAACTGGTCAATAAATTGTTTTATATTTCCGGCTTACTATGATTATTCTTTTGTCTTCGTGGAAGTCTATGTTTCACAAGCTTCAATGAGCTTCTTGATGCTTCAAGTCACTTTAAAATTTTAGTTTGAACGCGCTACTGCTATTTCTGGAGGTATTTTATTCTTTAATTATGTGTGTTAATGAACCCTAGGGTTCCGCAATACATGCAGTGGGGTTCCGTGAGTTCATAGGGTTCCTTAGGGGTTTTATTTTATTTTTCGAGGTAAATCATTTCTTGCTTCAGCATGTTGATGCTTTAATATAAATATTCAAAAACAAAAAACAAAAAAGAAGTTGTTTGAAGAGTGTACCCATGAGTATGAGAATTGCATTGAGCGCTGTGGAGCCACGATTCAAGTAGATTGCAAAGGAAATGCAAGAACAACCTAGTCATTGAATTTCACGCTTGTTACCTTCTTTCTGTTTCGTTGTTGAAGTACAAAAATTCGAATTACAAATATTTCGTGTTACGAGTATTTTGTGTTTTTTTCAATTTTGTTCATTGGGGTTCCATAAAAAACGAAAAACTATATCAGGGGTTCCACAATAACAAAAAAGTTGAATAGCACTGCTCTATAACGAAGCCTACAATTATTTACAACCTACCCCACTTGTACTCCACCATACTAAATATTCGGTATATACTGGCGCCTACAGTTTCGAAGCATGGTCTTTAATAACAAGGATCTCTTGTTATAACTTTATATTGAATGTCATTCACTTCTGTGCAGTTCGTATAACCTTTCTTGGTAAATGATATGATCAAATTATACATTACCTTAACCAATATGTATCACCACGATGTTGAATATTTAACAAAACATTGTTTATTGCATATTCCAAACATTTTTGTTACGATTCGTTAAACTTAACCATAGAAAATAATGTCAAACCGAGAATATTCAAAATTTAAATTGTAGAACTGTCTTGTTTACAATTAGTGTATAGTAAATTATCTGTTGCATTGTTGCTATATTTCATTCACCTTAAAGTGAGAAACTCGTAAGAACAATATAACATTGAAAAAACATAAAATCAATTGATTTGAATAAATCCTATAGTGAAAAAAAATATATTCAAATATTCGAGGATATTGTATTTATTATTCATACCATCTTCTTCAAAAACCACAAACTTTGTTGTGACTGTGCAATATTTATGAAGCGAATGAGAAAAGCTAGAACAAACATCATTGAACAAATTAAAGCCGACCAAGAAACAAAATCCAACGTTCTTTAGCCAAAATATATTTTTTGAATTTATGATTCAAAATTGAATTTCATTTTAACAATAATTTTGTTGCTTTATTGTCTGAGATTTCCCTGGATTCAAAATTGTCTGCTCAAGCAAATTTATGTTAACACAAAGATTGTTTAAATGCAATTCATAAGATATGTAATAGTTTGATATAAGTTTTAGTTATAATAATCCGAAGAACTTCAAGCATCATCCGAATCCTGATTCTGCAAAACAACATTTTCATATCCAACCCCAGGTATTGTAGAATATATATGTTGCTGATCTATAAATATAAATTTTGTTGTTAGTGTTTACCGCAACAGTTTTGTAAACTTATATGATTTTCTAGGCGTTGAATATGAACATATTCGAAATTTAAATATAAATCGAATTTTCGGTGGATTTATTGGCTCTTACACTATGGCATCGTTGAATAATAATGGTTTATATTTAATATTTTTAGTTTAGTAATGAATTTAATTTCAAAAATCTATGACAAATATTTCCCCTCATTTACACATAAATAGTGGAATCGTACATAATGCTTTGTCTGAATACCAAAATATTCGATTTGGAACCCCACCCACATCAAATCCACAAAGTTCATAGAAATGGGATGTCGTTTTTTTCATATTCCTTAACTAGATTAATCCAAATATCTACAAAACATGTTTATATCATACCTATATCATTATCTTTTACTGATGATATATGGGGATTTCCTGCTGTTTGATACCCCGTAGTTTCATAAAGATCGTTATGATCCCTTGAGGTACTCTTTGAACGTGTCAGCGACGATTCTCTATTTTCAGATTGATGTCGACGCTTCGTGTAAAAAATTGCACCAACCACTAGAGTAGCTAGAGCAATTATACCAGCGATAACACCAGCTATCCATGCCATATCTGTATTAAATAAAATAGAGGTTATATTTTATCGTATTTAGTATAAAAGCAACTATTTGATTAACTAAGTAAATGAAACGTTAGAGGGTATTATAAAAAAATTATTGTGAGAGTTTAGTCAATGGTACCGGTTCCTGGATTGGAACTTCCATTCGCAAATTCTTCTATAGAGCTTTGTTGAAACAATACCGCTTCTTCTTCATTTGGACTTGTTGTTACAACGTAAGTACTGAAATAGAAATTGAATGAATTATTTTAATGTTTCTATGCAGGCTCATGTCGTTATACACTAGTACGCTTCATCTGCATTTGTTAATGAATAGACTATAGACCATCAGAATGCTTATTGAGATATATAGCAGCATTACCTGTAGCTATTCCCAATTTGAAGCTGCCAGTTCTTTGCGTCGTAATGATTAATGCTATTTTTTGCGCTATTGTCTGTGACATCACAGCCGCTAGTAATTTTGTCGCCAAGTTTCACAGTTATTGATGTTTCAGAAAATTCAGATCTGAAAAGAATAACAACAAGAGAGCCTTGCTAAAATACATGGACATGAAGTACAAAACGCTGTAATGCGAGTATGCAATCGAACATAGTAGACTACCAGTACCAGCCGTGAGAATGTCACATAAACGTGTTCCCATGATTAAAAATTAAACAGCGGATTTTGGATGAAATGTTAGATCTCACAGAAAAATTGAGAAAAACTCCAAGTAATAGCCTTCGAGACAAAAACAATTTTTAAGCCCGGAAAATTTTAAAGTTGATTGATCCAGTAGCCAAAGGGAAAAGCGATTGTCCCATCCAGACAAAAAATAAACATGCTAACAACAACAACAATATAATATCAAAACTACTCATATGTCCACTTTGTGTCCAAATGATGGTTAAGGATTTAGACACATGCATGATTGATCATTGATTCTAGAATTAAATTTAAGAAGGAAATATACTAGGACTAAATCATGAAATTTTGGAAATCATATTTTCAAATATGTAGAAGCATATGTATTGTAATTCTACCACATTCTAAGACAAACCTTTTCATAGCGACAGCCAAATATTCTTTCCCATTGGGAGTTTCATCTGTCAATGCTTCCGATGACACTTTTCGTAGTTTAACAATATCGAATAAATCATTGTTATCAATGGGCCCATTTTTGACAACGACGAATACGCAACTGAATTTTTTTTTAAATATTTCATTACCATAACCGTAGAATAAATAAATTATGTAACTTCTATTTTTTCCCTTCTGTGAATCGTTTTTATCGTGTGTTTATATGTCTTCACTATACCAATTTTACCTGTTGCTGTTTTACTGTTATTAATATATAACTAATGAAACAAAGTAGACCAATATATATTTTTGAAGATCTAGCAGATTGAAATTCACCTACCTTATAGGCCCGTTATCTTCATTTGGTAAATTTTGACAACGACGAATACGCAACTGAATTTTTTTTTAAATATTTCATTACCATAACCGTAGAATAAATAAATTATGTAACTTCTATTTTTTCCCTTCTGTGAATCGTTTTTATCGTGTGTTTATATGTCTTCACTATACCAATTTTACCTGTTGCTGTTTTACTGTTATTAATATATAACTAATGAAACAAAGTAGACCAATATATATTTTTGAAGATCTAGCAGATTGAAATTCACCTACCTTATAGGCCCGTTATCTTCATTTGGTAAAATTATTTCCAGATCCCTAGTTGAACCTGGCGATTCATCAATTATATTTGGCTCTTCAATATAATCGGGAGCTGAGACAAATACCAATTTCACCGATAAGGGAGTATATACTTGAAATTAGTTGAAACAAGTATTTAGTTCAAATTATGAGTACTAATTTAAAAATATATAATCGATAGTAAAACTTATTATTACGGGAATTAAAATTCTTCATTCGTACCTTCACTATCAGTAATGCATTCGCCTGTTGCGATTGTTTTAGGACCAGATCCAGCACATGAAACAGCTGAGACATCAAAGTTGTAAATGCGGTTTGGCTCCGTCTTCAGATTATATGTTAATTTGGGCGGATTAACTGAAACTTCCCCATGTATTGTTGTGATGTCAGAACTGGGCGGTTTTCGTACAAATGTTGCCTGATAATTCATCTATTATAAATGAAAATATCTGTTCGCCTTACACCTTTACCAAAAAAAATATAAAATTTATATTTCATCAAGTATCGGACGTAATATGGAATTATATAAATAGAATGTAAATATGATTGATATATAAGAAATTTTAAACATTTTGCACAAAAATTTCTTGTATGTAATTTATTTCTCATTTTTTCGATAAAGTGACGTCAAAATGTAAAATCCTATTCATAATTATCTTTAACATAAATCAATAATAACTAATGCTAACCTGGAACATTTCAACATCTTCCTCTGATATGATTTCAGGCCAAGTCCAAGTAACTTCACAATAATTAGTTTCGTAATTTTGTGAAACTGTTGCTGTGAGTATCTTTCCAGGTAAACCAATTCCTGTGGTGGCGGTTGCGTTATCGCTTAGTTCTGCGATACAGTTTGTCGGGCAAGCAGTTATCTGAAAAAACAAATGAATACTTGTTCTTCTGTATATGTTTTTTATGTCAGTTAAAAAGATATATATTCAAAGTAATCAGCAATGGAACTTTGTTAGCATTCTACTGTATTTCATACCTTAATATCGTATTGTGAATCTGGATACAAATTTTCGATGATCAAATTTTGCACATGAATATCACTTGGAGCAATTTCACCAGAATTATGCCATTCTTCGAATGAATTCAAGAGTGTTATTTGATATCTGTAATAAATTAAGCATCTTTGTATGACTAGTCCAACTTACAGGGTGTCTCAAAAGTAAGTATACAATTTTAATTTGGATTTGCTTTTCAGGTACTCATCATAGAAGGTTCATTTCTTCAGACAACAAAGTATGGATAAGTAGTAAAATTTAAGTATTTATGGAATTTTACTCAACCCCCAGAATGAGAAAAAGATTAACCAAGAAATGCGGTGAAAATTTGCTGTTTGGCAAGGAGCATATAAATCAGTAAGGTAAACTCAGCGCCTCTTTAACGGGATTTTGGAATTAATTCGGCTTCTACGCGAGGAACATTTTATGCAATTCATCGTAAATTTATGAAAACTGGATATGTAGTTGATGCATAAAGATCAGGAAGACCAAGGTGCGGATGCTCTGAGGAAAAACATTTTGAGCCGAATTAATTCCAAATAGGCGCTGAGTTTGCCTTACTGGATATATGCTTCGTGCCAAACAGCAATATTGCACCTCATTTTTTGGGTTTACCTCTTTGTCATGGAAAATGCAAACAATACCTAAATTTTACTACTTATCCATACTATGTTTTCTGAAAAAATGAACGGTCTATGATGATGAGTAGCTGAAAAGCAAATCAAAATTAAAAGTGTTTACTCATTTTTGAGACATCCTGCAGTAGTTAAATATGTAAGGATACAAACTCAGTTGGTTTTGTATATGTTGAAACGAAGATAAAGTTTCGAAAGTATAAACAAAATTGTGTTGTATTCTGGAATTTGGATGAATGAAACTTACCAGTACCACTTTGTAAAATTGAATATATAATGTATGAGGATTGAATAAGAAATATAATGTTTTGTTTATTTTAGACATCAACGACAGTTTCAACCAAATACAAGTTCGTGCGACTTACAAGTGTTTAATTGCAGTATGCGGCTTCCAAGTGACATTAATTTTCCCATCGTCTGTGCAAGGCTCTCCACAGGCACTGATAATTTTTGGTGTTTCAAATTCTGAAATATTTATACCGAAATTTGATGTGAAATACTTATTTAGCAAGATATGTAGGAGTATTTTGTTTGCCCTTGTTTGTCACATGGTATAAAGGCGATGTCTTTTTTTAAAACAGTGAATGCCCTAAAATTTTCTTCACTTATTAATTGGTTCTATTTATGAAAACAGTAACATTTATTGCAATTATTCGTATGAGAATCAAGTTCCTTAACACACTGAACTAGATTACTAGAACAATACTTACGGTCGTCGGAGCAAAAATCACCAAAATATCCTTCCGCACAGTCGCATTCAAAATAAGGATGAACACCATGAGTAGATATACACCTTCCTCCATTTAGACACGGATTAGCATTGTGCTCGCAATAGTCTAAAAAGTAAGATCTCTTTGTGGGTGCATTACCTATTCAATTTGTGCGATTATAAGCGAAATAAGTAATTTATGTAGATCAGGGTATGAATTGACACACAATAAACCTCTAAACAAATCTAAACCCACCAATTATACCACCATATCAAGTAAAATCGATTTGGGGATGTTTCCAACTTTTAAATGGAACAAAGTTACATATTAGAAGGATGTGATGGGCAAGAGGTTTGAAAATTTTTCTCAGAATCAATAACCTTGACAACAGACAATTTTAATGTTATTAAGAGGCTCGAAAATTTTTTATTATTTAGCTGTCATCAATCGATATTCAGGTAATATCAATCGAAAGAAACAAACCGGAATGATTTGTATTCTCTCATCGTGAAAGATACAGATTAAATATTCTCGACGTTGTCAAATTGTATTATAGATAAAAATAAAGTTTTAATTTTGGAATTGTTGGCTGTAGATGAAGAAATATTCTTTTAATTTATATAATAATGGATAAGAAAGACCTGTCACTATTTGCTAGAATGAATTCATGGTTTCTCCATATTGCCTATGCGCGGTCACTGTTATAATATTTATGCATTCTGTGATTGAATTGATAATTTCCTATAAAAGTTCATATAGCAGAACAATATGTTGTGGTCCTACATTGAGTGTAAATGAGTGTAACGATATATCATCCAGACAGACTGGAAATAATTAACGCTAGGAGTTTAAATGCTAATACCTTTGTCTCAGTTTTCAAAGCAATCTTTATTAAACTAAAATTAATTCATATAAACGCATTTTGTTGCTCACCATCGCTAGAACAGGTATCGTTGAAATATCCAGGTATGCAAGTACATTTATAATATGGATCTGTTTCTGGCATATTTACACAGCTTCCTCCATTTTGACACGGATTCCCATTATTGGGGCAATATTCTGAAATTGTTATGCGACATAACATTAACCTTATTCGTGCAATCATTCCGATTTTATAACTTCACACATTCTCAACCGCTAAGATATTCATCTCATATTACTAACAAGATGTAAATTTGTAAATAATAACTTTTTGCAGTGAAGGAATTTTATGAGGTAGGCTAACGAAAATATCCACTTTGAGTAGATTTTAATAAAAAAAAAATAGGCATAACAATATAGTTTCACTAAGATTCATTTTTATGCATTGCAGTTATGTTTGTATTCTGAGTTATTCGGGTGTATCAATTTCCATTCAAAATGTAGTCTGTTACCAACGTTTGACAGAAATCGGTATTGCCGTAGCAGACCGACATCCAATCACATTTGGTAACAAAAAAAATAATTTATACTTCAGTTCACCTTACCCACCTATCGCGGAAGCACTATAAAGAATTGTAAAATCAGAATATAAATCTTATAAACTAAATGATGAATTTAAAAAAAACAAGCAGAAAATTAGTCCAGTGGTTTTAATCTTTACGAACCTGCCGAACCCCTAAGTTATTCTGTAGGCTTTCTTCTAACCCCAACGTTTTGATTACAAAAAACTAGTGGCGCAACTAGAACATATTAACAATGCAAATGCGTCTTTACTCATTATAATTAAAAAACGGTGGTGAGTTTTTGGAGTTATATTTTACGAGTTCCCAAACTATATTAACCGCCAAACCCCTTAGTGATCAACTGGTTACAACAAAATGAATTAGGACGAGAGAAATATTGACTGCACATAGTCATCCGATGAGGGCTATTCCTGGTTGTCATGTTTCAATAAAATGTGATCAAAATCGAATCAAAGTTTTCATAGCAAAAAACAATATGCTGGGTAATTGAAAGACTTGATAATGTGGATCTTCGTCGACACCCTTGAACACCCCAAACCTCCAATAACGTTTTGATCGTGCTCAGGTTCAAAATCACTGTATTATTCTAAATATTAATAATGCAACAGAAAGACACTTGCTTGTGTTTTTCTATAATATGTGCAGTTTGGACAATATTTTGCATGTGACGCTTTCCACGGGAATAGGAAAAATATTTCATTCTCTGATAATTCAATATTATACGTTCCTTTGACTTGGGTTGCATTCAATGTCTATTAAAATCTATAATACATAATTATGGTGGCATGTAGAGTATACCCTCTGTTATAATTTTGTAGTATTTAATTACTATACCGATTAAGGCAAACACGACATATGATAAGAAGGAAATCGAATGTAGGCACAGAGACTTACATCTAAAATCATTGCGAGTAACGAATTGTCGTCACTTCCGTTTTACAATACTTACGATCGCTAGAACATATATTGTCGTAAAATCCCGACTCGCAGTTGCATCTAAAATATGGATCCTGTTTTGGTGTATTTTCACAGCTCCCACTGTTTTGACAAGGATTTGGATTGTTTGAACAGTATTCTGAAATACAAAATTAAATTGTCAACTTCAACTCAGTTTTCACAAAAATTTACGTATATATTCAAACAATCAGAAAATGTATGAACGCCAAGAGTTGCGAAAATGCGAATTGAGTTTTCTGTAAGTCGTACTTTAGTGTGTAAAGTAATATTCAATCAAATACAAAAAAAATTTTAAAAGTATAAGTTGTGTTACTCACCATCGCTAGAACAGGTGACGTTAAAATATCCAGGCTTGCAATTACATTGAAAGTAAGGATCGGTTCCTGGAATATTCTCACAGCTTCCATCATTTTGACACGGATTTTCATTGTTGGAACAGTATTCTGAAAATATTATGTGTCATAACACTTACATTGTCTGTTTAAAGCAGTCATAACTATTAAAGATTGCCGATCAAAACTTCGATATGCACAGTGGCGTTTTATTAGTCATGACCCTTAAATTAACTCATCTAAACTTGGTGAGAGTTAAAAAGAGTCTTTGATAGGTCATACAATTTTAAAAGGGCAATTTTAAGTCGTTTGAATATACCAGTACCTACAGTGCCAATGCCTTATACTGAATATGTATTGTTATTTTTTATTGATTCATACCATCCTAGATACTGTAATGTTTTAAAAAATTGGACTTTTAATCAACCATGCACGGTTGGGTATGGCTAATTGTAAACCAGACTAGAACGCAAAATAAATTAAGGTAATTTCATTGTAACGACTCATACTGCCGACTTGTTTTCGACTTGTCATAATTACTTTCGTTGCATTATGAAGCTTTTACTCAGTAATAATCAGGGTGTGACGTCATCAAAATTGTCAACTTAAGTGTTGTTAAATGTTAAGTTTATGACCTACTTAACTTAAGTTACCTAGCTGCGCTGACTTATAGAAACATAAAAACTTTCAATAATATTACATTAGCTTTAGACATACCTTTTTTGTCAGTGGTAAAACAACCTACCTGTTATCGGAAAAATTTGGAATACAAGGGAATTGATTTGTTTTTCGTTTTTTTAATACAATTGCTTTTAGGCTGGATTTGGTAACGCAGCAGTCACTTTTTAAAATATCCTAACTCCAACTTTTCATATCTACTTTGCAAAATAAAAATATAAACTTTGTTCAGTAAAGGGTTTTTATAAGGAAACTAAAACATTTATTTTGCTTGAAATTGAATTAAAAATGAACATAGCAATATAGTTTCAGTAAGATTAAGTGGTATAAATCATATTTCTGTTCGTTGTGTAAGTTGTCACAGAATATGCCGTAGTAGTCCAGCCTGCAATCACCTCTATAATGGCAATTGATTGGAAAATTTATACCTCAGTTTTATAACACTCACCATCACTGGAGCAAGCGTTATCGAAGTAACCTTGTATGCAATTACATCTGTAATATGGATCCTGTCCTGGTGTATTATCACAACTTCCTCCGTTTTGACACGGATTCGGATTATTTGGACAATATTCTGGAACAATGAATATTGAAATTACTATCACAATGTATTTGAAAAAGGATAAAATCTAAAAAGGTATATCAAAGTATATACATACGACTCTATGATTATAACACAAGTAAAAATACATAGATGAAGGAGATGGAGTGGTGTAGAATATATATAACAGCGGGACGAGTCGGACACGCTTGGGACAAGTGCGACACGACATTTTTGAGGCGCCCGTACGCACGCCTTGTTTTTTTGAAATAAATGATTAGATGATAGGTGAAATATTGCTCGTAGCCATAAGAAGAAATAAAGTTAGAAGAACAAGAGGAGTGAATTTCCTCGTGCAGACAGCGGCTGGCAGATAAGCTGAGTCGCGCTTTTCACCTCAATTTTGAATCGCAAATACGCATCGAACAACTTTTATCTAGCGAAACGTTTTTTCCCTTTATTTTATTAAAAACAAACCCTTATTTTTAAGCGTTGCCCATATAGCAGCCGTGCCGAAGCGCAACTCTGGAGCAGCAACCAAAGTCAAGAAAGAATAATTTTATTTCTATTTTTCATATAGTCAGTGCTTTGTATATCATTCTCAAAATAATAAAAAACGCCATTCACGTAAAATAACAATAGGCTGAATATAACGCTAAACTCTCAATTTTTTAATATATTTATTAAAGTAACTAAGCTCGCAGTATTTTGACAACTTCGGGATTTTCCAGACTGCGGCCCGCAAGCCTTTCAAAAAATATCTGCGACCCGTTAATCCATACCCGTTAACTCATAGATAATTAAATTTAATATGACATAATATTCTTTTTAGCATTACATTAGCCTTGCAATAAAACATGGAAACACAAGCGCAAAACAATTTTTAAAATCATTCTTAAATTTTTTAAATAAAGAAGTATAAAGATCACTTTTATTGCTGATACAAAGAGATTATATTTCTCGAAACAAATTACATCGGATCTGATGTGACAGCCTTAATATTTGCATTCCCGATAGTTGGAATTGAACTTGATTGATTGAAATATGCCGATACAGAAAACTCTGCTTATCGGAATTTCAATAATATAGTAGGGTAAGTTTTAATAGATTTTCTATTTTTTATGACTATTCCAGTATACTACATATAATCAATGTTATTATGCAATTTCTCATTCACGGTTAGTTTCAGTTACAAATTTTCTGAATGCCATATTCGATTCAAATGAGAAATGCGCCGAGATGTATTCAAAAACACTTTTAGTTGTCAAAATATGAGATGCATTAAAAACTATCATCATTTAGCGACAGATGACAATTATACAAAATATACCAATACGGAATACGATTTTGTTACTCACCATTGCTAGAACAAGTGTCGTTGAAATACCCAGGCTTGCAATTACATCGATAGTAGGGAAATATAACTACCATATTCTCGCAGCTTCCTCCATTTTCACATGGATTTTCATTGTTGGGACAGTATTCTGAAATTTATACGGGCGTTAACATTAACCTTGTTCGTGCAGGAATACCGATTTTTATAACATATTCTCTACCTCCATTATAAATATCTCATTTTACTCAATGGCGTGATTACTAAATTCACATAATGTGAATATGGCATGAAATCATAACTTTGTTTAGTAAAGGAATTTTATAAGAAAACAAATCAAAATTTCGCACATAGATTCGAATCAAAAACAAACATAACAATATAGTTTCAGTAAGATTAATTGTTATAAATTGTTTTTTTTCGTGTGGTTTAAGTTATTGAAGTATATCAATTTAAATTAAAAAATTCAGTCTGTTACCGTCGATTGCCAGAACCCTGTATTGCCGTAGTAGCCCGACATCACATCTTTAATGGAAATTAAATAAATAATTTATACTTCCATTCAAAAATACTCACTATCGCTAGAGCACGTATTGTCGAAATAACCCGCCATACAGTCACATCTATAATATAGATTCTCTTCTAGTGTATCCACACAGCTTCCTCCGTTTTGACAGGGGTTTGGATTGTTCATACAGTATTCTAAAATATGGAGATAATGTTTCATTAGTTACATCGTTGCCATTTCAGGATAAATGAAAAAAATTCGTTCTCAAATATAAATACTCGAAACATAAATTAATCTGACCACTATACTAACTATCATGACGTAACATTCGTATGCAATATTCAATCGTTTTATGACATGACACCCCCCCCCCCCCCTTTCGCCAAACTTCGTAAATATCCGCGTTTACGAGCACGTAACCTCGTCTCTCCAGAATGCAACAGCTAAATCTCGTTAAGTGCGATTCACGAAAGATCTCGTAAACACTTTACGCACGGTCACATATTGTAAACTACTTTTGTAACAGACAATGAAATAGATTTTGTGTAATCCCATATTTGATGTTAGTATCGGTACTAATTGCTGCATTGAATTAGTCTGTGTAAGGGCTCAGGCCTATGCCTGTAGCTGTACTCCAGTGAATAGAGTTGACTACTCTACAGGTATTAGACTACAGTCACCCTTACCCAAGTTAGGCATTTAGAGATTGCAAATGCATGCAAACACCATAGCAGGATTATTTCAACTCGAATCCATGCTAAGAACAGGCCGAGACTACCGGACTACTGTTAACGAGGATAATTTTTCCCTCGTTAGTTTGCGAGCACTTCAGTCTCCAGTGTCCTGTTATCTCGGGATGAGACTTATGTGTAATATAAATATGGCTCTAATATAATTGGTCAGTAAGAGTTAACATTCTTTATGTACACATCTTATCTTGGACTTAACTCAAAACAAAACCAATAAGACATTTTCGCGCCGTTTTCAAGCAGGATATGGGCTTGTCCGAGTGTTTTTGTACCCGGGTTGTGCGTCACTCCCTGTTGGCCTATTTCCAATTTTACGAGTTTTATATCTGTATATATTTGGAAGCTAAGAAACATACAAAGAAATACGTTATTACTTGAAAGAAAGTAATTTGCGCGGCCCAGCGTTCGTTTTCCTTGCGTAAACAACTCACTAATAATTACCAGCACAATAATAAACAAACAAGAATTGCGTTGACTTCACAAATATACCGCTTCGTTACTCGGCAGCTGTTTGCGCTACACCATTGCCTGTGGTATCATTTTGTTAGGGAAACAAATAGCGAGACGACTATTACGCTTGCGAGAGAGTGCCGTTATCATAAGTAACGGTTCGACGGCCATAAAGAAGAAAGGTTCGAATGTTTGTTTACTATCGTCGATGAATTTTCTCACGTACGCAAAATTTCGTACATGGAGCGGTCCATTAGCGACCTCTTGCGTATAGAAAACAATAATACGATTCAAATGAGCCTTCAATGGCCTTTCAAGCCATCTTGGTTATGTGACAAATGCTAATTAGAAATATTTTAAAAATTTGACTAGGGAGTGTCGAGATTAGGAGGTTTTAAAGACCTTTGGTCAGGTGAATACCGATTCTCGGTAAATTGAGAGAAGAATGCACAATGCACTGTTTTATTGCACTGTATCATTTTGCTAGGAATTCAAACAGCGAGACGACTATTACGCTTGCGAGAGAGTGCCGTTATCATAAGTAACGGTTCAACGGCCATAAAGAAGAAAGGTTCGAATGTTTGTTTACTATCGTCGATGAATTTTCTCACGTACGCAAAATTTCGTACATGGAGCGGTCCATTAGCGACCTCTTGCGTGTAGAAAACAATAATACGATTCAAATGAGCCTTCAATGGCCTTTCAAGCCATCTTGGTTAGGTGACAAATGCTAATTAGAAATATTTTAAAAATTTGACTAGGGAGTGTCGAGATTAGGAGGTTTTAAAGACCTTTGGTCAGGTGAATACCGATTCTCAGTAAATTGAGAGAAGAGGAGGTTTTAAAGACCTTTGGTCAGGTGAATACCGATTCTCGGTAAATTGAGAGAAGAATGCACAATGCACTGTTTTGACGCGCAAAAAATTCTCTTGAATAATTTCTCTCGAATATTTACGATGCTTCGTGAATACCATTTTTGCTTTTTACGAGAAAGTCGGTGCTTTACTAACACGTTAAATGATAAGGAAGTTTGGCGAATGGGGCCCCTGATTCATTCAGTAAGTTAAGTCGCACCAGAAAAAGTACGGTTAAATAAAAGTTAGAGCATAAATTAATTCATTGTCATTGTAAAAGTCCAGATGATGATTTAGGTCGACCACGGAAGCGATTAAAAATAAACGTTTAACTACCGAGGGTTGCCGAAATGGCAATACTGTTTTCCGTTTAGTTGTGTTTCCGAATGTGAACTCAATTAAATACCAAATAAATATAAATCGACGAATTTTGTTACTCACTTTCTGTAGAACAGATGTCGTCGAAATATTCAGGCTCGCATTTACATTTATAGTACGGATCAGTTCCTGGCATATTCTCGCAGCTTCCTCCATTTTGACACGGATTTACATTATTCGAACAGTATTCTAAAATAAAAATGTAACATTATATTAACTTGGGTTTTTGAGAGCATTCACACCGATTAAAAAATGATTGGATATAATGCGTACATGATATAAGTTACCTAACCGCGCTGCCTATATAGGAATGAGGAGGCGTTTAGTAGTATTGTGTTAGCTATGCACTATGAGTACTGACTCTAAAACAGTGGTTCTTGAACTGGGGGGCGCGCCTTCCAAAGAAGGCGTGAGAAGTTCTCGGGGAGGGGGGGGGGGAAGTCCACAAGATGCCAATTTGAAAATCCATGCGATATGGATGTTTTCTCCAAGTCAAATAAGTCGCTTTTCTATACCCAAATTTTTGGCCTGATTTTTTTTTTTCCGGGTGGGGGGGGGGGGGGGGGTCTTATTATGCTAGTATGATAATTTTCATTTTTCGGCATCAATTTATTATTCAATTCAGACCATAAAATAACTTCGGCGATAGCATCCCTATAACGTCCTCATCAGGTCAGTTAAAATGAGTCGACGTTCTCGTACTGTCAATCTGGATTTTCAACGCTGTGATTATCATATTTGACGTTGCCACATTTGTGTGTGAATCATGAGTAGGGATGCCACTTTTGGATTTACGAATCGATTCGAATCGCATCTTTTCCGATTCGATTCGAATCAGGTTTACGCGATTCGGAAAATGAGAGCGATATACAGAAATATGAAAACATTGAACGTTTGTTATCGGTTGTTTTCGGCGGCATTAAAGCTGCCGAAAGCGTTTATGCGACACTCCAAATTAAGGGACCAAAAAAAAAACATTGAATATTTGTTAATCGTTGTTTTGGGCGGCGGTAAATCTGCCGAATGCGTTTAATTTTGTTAGCGCGATACAAGCGGGAATAAAACATTTCGGATTATTTCTAGCAAATGTCATAACGGACAGGTGGGAGTAGATAATACTTGAGGAATGGCAACTTGTGCACTGTTTTACATCAACACGTGCCAAATTTCATACCACACCAAGCATTGAAGCATACTGTGCGAATGTCGTCTTACCTTAGCCCTAGCGACCGTATTTGATCGAAATATAGCGTCGATCAATTATCTCTCGTCAGCGCGGCGTCCGTTATGCACATTTGGACTTTCTGAATTCGAAATTAAACAAAGTCCAAGATAATAATAAAGCCCGAGTAAGCCAATAATGCTGTTAGCCACAAATAATATTGTCTCCAATATTTATGAAAATTTTTGTTTGCAATCGTAGTCGGTTGAACGATTGTTTTTCTCGAAATTAATTTAATTTATTCGTGGTTAATTTTATCGTCTTCGATCATATTTCTGCAAGCATTTCCCATTTCTAAAAATTCAGATGCAACTAGAATGTTTTTGTCGTATTACTCTATGCTGCTAACATAAATATAAAATGTTGTACTGAACTTAGTCACATACACTGGTGTGGGACTAGGGAAAGCAGTGATGTTACTGTGTTCATGACATGCCAGTACAACTGTTTCCTGCTTATTTTCTCATATGAATTCCATCAAATTGCCACAGTCCTGATACAAGGACTGCATGTGTAGAGCCCAAAGGTACACAATAATAGCCCAGTATTGTAAGACTCACAAATATGTTGCAAGAGCAAGTTTGTCATCAATGCATTTATTGGTGATACCTATGACCTACATATTTTTTTTATTATGATGGAAATAAGTGTGGCTTATTCACTGAAAAACCCCTGTCATTCTTGCTATATGGCGTATTCCATTTTCAAGTTTTTCTCTTCTAGATTTGAGTTTTTTTTGTGTCTTTGAGCAAACATATGCGTGTAATGAAAAAAAAGCTTAATGGAATCAGATTCGAAAAGATTCGATTCGAAAATTTTTGATTCGAGATTCGGTTCAAAAAATAAATGTATCCAGAAGTGGCAACCTTAATCATGAGTGAACGGTTATTACCGATACACATGAGATTGCAGTGTGTGGAAATCGTCAAATGTTTTTGTCAGCGTGATGTATTATTTAAGACGTAAACATCTTTCATTTCATCATATATTCTCCCTAAGTCACAAATTTCCCTCAACATATGTTTTGTGCCGCAAGGACGACGATAATTACTTCATTGTTCACAAACAACACTTGTGTTGTGAGATACGAGTTATTACCTAATCATGTGTGACATGATGCTAAGATGAATAAAGGAGTGAATATTTGACCCAAATTTTCTTGATTGAGAAGCGACATTATAAAATACTAAAAATAAAACAAAAATACCGTTTAAGTTTTATTTTGTAATGGCCTGTGACAGATTTAAGATGGTTTTTAGACATTGCAAATCGCAAAAACATTTTGTGTTTTACACTTACCGACGGGACCTGACGCGCCTATGATATATATGTATAATACCGTAATTAATGTAAAATATATTTAATTCATTTTTTAAAATAAATTTAAAATTGTGGGATATTATTTGGCTCCTTTTAATTTGCTAAAATACGAATCCAAACAATATATAGTCGTACATGTGTATGTGCACGGATTGCGTTGGTTTTTTGGGGCTGTGATACTATTTATATTGTGGCAATCGCAGATCAAATTGATCACAATTAAATCAATGAAGCAACACATTTCGTTTCGTGGAGATTTCGAGGTGATTAATATGTATGTGTCATATATACACTTTATATGTATATTTATTGTCGTTAATTAAATTGTACTTTCCAGAATTTCATAGCAGATCTTGGGATTTTTGAGTTAAAACGGCGATAACGAATTAGCAAGAGCGCAAAAATATGTATCAAAACCAAATATAATCAGGCAATTTATCTGGCATTATTATGTCCGAATGGCGAGGTATTTTAGATCAGTAATGTTCTTATTTAGTGGACGCAATCGCGAGTTAGGTTTTAATCTAATACAATTAATGTATAATCTTAATGGGGAGTTATATGCGAAAAATGGACTAAAACGGGCCTTGTCTTATTTACCGGGTAGACTTATTTGCCGCGGAAATACGGTACTTAGTTTAGTAAACGATCCGCATGTGGAAACAAAAATATAGGAATGAAAATAGCTCAAAAACTGTCATTAGTCGTTATTGTAAAATACTATGATGATGATGTTATCAAGAGGCTCGTAATATTCAGCAGTTTTAGATTTATTATTTGAGTACTTAATATAGCGTTGTGGTAAAACAAACATGTTCCATTCAACATAGTCGAAATATATTATTGACTCACCCTCGCTTGCGCAAGTATCACCGAAGTATCCAGCCGTGCACTCACATCTGTTAGACACACAGCTACCTTCATTTTTGCAAGAGTTGCCTGTGCACCATTCTATTAAATTCAAATATAATTTGAGACTCCATTACAATACTTATTTGCATATTAATTCATATCAAAAACAAAATAGGAAGATGAAAACAGATATTAATGTATATTTTTCAAAGGCGTATTATATTCTGCTTTGTCATTATTGATCACGTTATATGAATTAAATACTTTTTCAGCTTAGGTATTGAATGAAACAGCTCGACGTCTATAATTTAAATTGAATTTTTAACATTCTAATATTTTATAAACACGAAGTATAGCGTAGGCCTATTTGTGAAAAAAACACAAGAATTGGATTACTTGAGGTTTGACAAATATATCCATCTGACGCTCCACATGATATGTCGTACCAATAGTTCTGATTAATTTTAACACAATCTTGTCCATTATCTTTTCCACCTTCACCAGACCACCTGAAAAATATTTTACCATTATACAACTGAGCTGATTTATACCTTCTAAAATTCAGAATATTCGAGCCCACTATACGTTGAACCAATTCAATTATTTAATATGAATTATTATTCATGGGTAATTTGATTTCACCATCTGAGTACATTCTATATGGTAATTAAAAAAAATGTTTGTGTCTACAGTTTCTAAAAGTTTACCACGGCTTTTCAACATCGTATGCCAGAGTTCTATGCAGCAATTTTTTGGCTTTGCCAATGTTTTCTTAAATGTGCGACCTATGCCACAATATTTTAAAATTGCATTCACAGATTTTACAAACTCAATTCACTTGTCTTGTCAATTTTGATGACGTCACGCCCTAATTATTACTGCACTAAATTCTCATTATGCAATGGAAATATTTATTTTCGTCGACACTACACGACAAATCCTAAACAGGTCAATTATAATGCTGGTTACATTGATGGTGACCTTTAATTCTACCTTCTATTCCTGTTTACATTTTTACCATCCCCCGCGGAGTGAAAATCACATTTACAAAATATTGCAAGGCCAAAGTTGGTATAAATGACTAAAAATACATGCAAATCCAATATGAAGTCAAAGTGAGTTATCATGTGTCATTGTTATGTGGGTTAAAATTGATTTTGAAACATGCTTTACAATTCCATGGCTCACAACCTTCAAATTTTAAGATAGTTCGTATTACTATATATACCATAGGCATATTCGAAGGTCCTGAAATCGGTCCTCTCGCTCTGGGTAGGTTTATAATCAGATTTGAACATACATTGAAAACAGGAGTTATTGCTAGTAAATAGTAAAATAACCGAGCGTACCAGTCGTTGTATGTTGCCACCGATCCATCAGTCCATCGATATTCCCCATCGAAATATTTTAATCCGATATGATATTCGTCGCTGGTTCTGAATAAAAATGCTAGGATTATTGAAATATTCATCAAATTCATAAATCTGCTTGATCAACGCAATTTTATTGTACATGACGATAATCTAAACTAAAGACTTCAGTTCGAAATTTTACACATCTGATCAACCAGCAATATAATAGAAAATCAATGATTTGTCTGATACCACCTGTTTCATAGTTATTTCAATACAAGATATTCGAAACACTCAATAAAGCATGCAAAATAATGGTATGATACTAAAAGCATCTCTGTCAAGTAATAGTAAATATGACCCAAAAACATTTCACCTCTATACGGGCAGCCGTATAGATGAGAATAATTTCTGCAAAGTTTTAAGTATGTTGTTACTATATGTTGCCATGATTAAATATTTATCTAAAAACATTCGAAATTGGCCAAACTATGTTGTACTACGTAAATGTGCATGTTTACTATGAATACTAACTATTCCCAATGACAATTATGTACAATCGGATACAACTAGATTTTATATCAGTCAAAAGTTGATCAATAAAGGAAAAAATATTTCTTCACTTAGATCGATAATTGTTAATAATATGGACGTGGTGATATAAAAATAAACTTATTGAGAAATAGTGATAAATGAACAAAGCAATCAAATGTACCCAATAAGCTGCTGCACTTTATTGTTATATGCCGGAGTTTTCATATCTACAAGATTCCCATTCCACAACGAGCATCTACTTCTTGCAGCTGCATTTGCAATTGCATTGTCAAATTTTTCAAGAAGATCTCCGTTGTAAGTAATTGCCTCATTTGGATCTTAAATGGCATAGACTAAGTTTCTAGTATAACAGATGACTTAATGATAACAAACTTAGCTATGGATTTGATGGAAAAATTAGGCTGAAATTCTTGAATGAAATATTAATTCATTCTACTCTATTCACGCAAGACATTTATAAAACTTTCATCGATGCATTCTCTCTAATGTTTAATTTGTTAATCCGTGAATGCCAAGCTTTCGAAATTTGTCATGTTTCTTTAATCAGGGACAATTTTGGCTGAAAGATCCAATATTGATCTGAAGTTATATAGCACTACCTTTTATATATGTAACAAAACAACCGATATATATTGATTGTAAGTAACCGTAAATCAAGTTCAATCGCGACTACACGTAGTGTGACGCATGTGCAGTTCACAACAAAACAACCCTAAATTCTTGTAGATGATAAATTGTATATCCTACATCACATAACGTTAAATCATTTTGTGATAAAGTAAGTTTAAATATTTCAATTAGAAATATTGTATTCTTTCAGCAAGCACTTACATGATTGACAAATATATTTAAATGTACCACCAGTACAAGCAACATCAATCCATCCGTCACTTAGTATACAAGCACAGTCTTCGTCGGGATCATCTCCTTCACTTGCTTTCCTACAATGAAAATGTTCAAAAAAAGTCAATAAAGGACAAATCTGATTCCACTGTTTCTTCAATTATTATATCGAGATCAGAGGATTCGTGAACAAACATTGCATAAAATTAAGAAAATGAATTGAAGATTAGATTTGGTAATAATATAGTCAAGGATTGGCACCATCAACTTATTTTTAAATTACTAACAGACATAGAAGTTGTATTGTAATATAGGCGAAAGTAATAAGTCTATGTATTATTTTATATCGGTTTAATTCCTCAAATGTTGAATTTATTAATTTTTTGGCAATTTTCATACAGGTAATTAGAGTAATTTTTACAGGTTGAACGGCGCAAAAACGCCATCTAAACTACTAATATTATAGCTGCCTAAGGTTATTGGTAACGATGGGACTTGATGAATGAATTTTCTAAAAAGATGGTATTGCATTACAAAATGAATGCCCGCCTCATATATTTGGAAATAAGACTGCGAGAGAATTACTCTCCAATCTCCTATTTTATGCGTATTATTGGTATTGTTTAAATCAGTGGTTCTCAATCTTTTATGTCCCGTGCCCCCTTTCCGGCGCCTTTTTACACTTGTGGTCCCCCTGTTTGCCATTCCAAAAGACTGAACGTGTTGGATTCAATCATGTTTCAACGATCTTTAGTGGAATGCAAAAGCAAACCATAGACAAGAAAGTAAAAGCTTTTTAGTATACAATCAATGGGAATCTTGCGCTTTGGACTGTATGACGAATTTTTTTTGTTGGACACAGTCTTTAATATAGCCAAAAGATTGTCACTGTCAACATCAAGAAGGTTTCTAGATTTCGTTTGAATGGTAACAAGATCAGAAGAACCAGATTCGCAAAAATAAGTTGCGGCAACTTGAACTAGCAGTGAAGAAGCTTTCTTGCTAAGTAGGGGGCAAGAATCCGATATGCCACTTCATAGCTGCATTCAAGAGCAGGCTTTCTTGTCAATTTAACACGCTTGGCAGCCAAGACACCGATGTCAACGTCTTCCACTGGAAGATGATTTTTGTCAGGATGGGTTTGAAGTATAGATGGACGTAATGATTCATTACTCATTACATACGAGCAATGGAAGCATTGATCACATTCTCTATCATCTCGTTTTACTTTGCCAAAGCCAACATAACTGTCATTCCATTTTTGTATTTTGGACATAGGGAATTTAAGAATGCGTTTTTGCGTCTATAATACGATAGTGAAGGCTATCTCGAAGTCGAGCGAATCTGCCCGTCTACAGGTTAGACGGCCTACCGGCGAACTATTTTGATTGATAGATTCCAAATTCCTTTATGATCAAACAATTTACTCACAAGAAAGGGAATGCACCCTGCGATCGCAAATACCCTATTCAGGCAATGAAACTGCAGTGAACGACCGAACGGAAAATTTAATTTTGAAAGGAAAGTATGCAAACGAGGTCACAATATGATTAATTATAGCCTTCAGTGGTGGTCCCATTTGGGGTCACCGACCCTTGATTGAGAACCACTGGTTTAAATAATAATTGTCTAACAATTTTTCGTTATTATTATTGCGAGGCGGTTATCAACATATTTTATAACATGCCCATATATACCACTTTGCCTGATCAATGTGCACCATACTAAAGTACGCATGAGATTTGCATAAATCATGAGGTTTTTAAAGAAACATGACTGTAAATCAGAAACGCATACTACAGAATATATTGTTCATATGTTTATAATTTTGTTGCTGCATTTTTGATACTTGCTCTACAAACAACAAGTTTGCAAATTTGATACTAATTTCACAGTAATTTTGGGACGTACTCTTGAAACACAAATATACCCGTTATTAAAGTTTGAAATAATATTATTTTTCGGTATATTCAAATTCATGCTAAAAAAAGATAATGAGCCATTTTCAAACGTAAAAACTAATTTACAAATAAATCACGTCTTGTCATTAAAATAGACTTTTACTCATGCAGAGACGTTTAAACGAATAAACATATTATTGTTTTGTACAAATAATCAAAAATATATTGACGCAAAGAAGTGCACATACAGCACAAATACAAATTATTCATTAAAATCATCTTATATTTCACTATATGCATATCTTCAATAATGCTTTGAGTACATACCAGTTCTCATAGATGATTCCTGTCTTGTCGCTGCTGTATTCCCACGCACTATTTGACGTTGAATATTGTATTCCCATCAGATAAGAACTCATATCAGACCTGAAGTAAATAGCTAGTTTTATTTTTTGCAAACATTACTGCATTCTGCGTCATATCATACTTCCCGAAAATTTTATTTTATACTTCACTAATCACTCACCTAATCCATTGACTTATTTTATCGTCCATAGTTCCATCCTTAATCTCAACTAACTGAGAACCTCTCATTGCACATCTATCGCTAGCAGTTGTATAATTCTCAACTACTTCGGCGAATTTTTCAAGAAGATTTCCGGAAATTATTACTGTTGACGATGGAGGTTGAACTAAATATACATAATAGGTTATGAATAACAATAAGTTGGTGAACTCATTGAACATATGAATTGATTCAATTGTCCGTTATTGTTAAATTAAAAGTTTAGCCCTTGAGCTACCATGCATTTCAATTTGCTGGCTAGTACCTAAGTACCCCAAGGCATTTGTTTTGCATTTGCATTTTTAAAAAGCTCTTGACACGCTTTCTATATATATAGAATCAGTGGCGGCGCGTCAATAGGGGCCAACCGGGGCAATGCCCCGGTTGTTTTTTCGGTATAATAAAAAATATTCGAAAAATACCTCAATATCGGTTGCACAGACTGTCTACACTAGCCATATTCTCCCGACATGGTTCATTTTTCGCTCGCAAAGCCTTCGCCGAACGTCGACGGGGGCGACGCCGATTTTGCCCCGGTTGCTCATTGTATATCGTATTCTCTCTTTTATCTTCCACTCGCCGCGTTTGTCTCGTTTGTTTTCTGTTTCTTTTACTAAATCATCGGGGCCGATCGGGGCTAGCCCCGAAATTCATGACGACACCAATGCCGACGTTTCTTACAAACAACGTGTTGACATATTCACGCTTTCCTTCTCGTTCGTTGGTTGCTTGAAGAGTTGATAGTTTCCTCGCCTTCGTTTTTGTCGCTTGTTTCGCTATTTGAATCAGTTAGAGACCTTTAGTCTATTTGCTTCGATTTCCACATTCCTTTTGAGCTCCTCACTTCTTTCCGGCTTCGCATTTCTTAGCCTTAGACCTCATAATGAATAAGGTTGATGCACTACTTCGCACTCCCGTTTTCGCAGCTGCCGCTGAACAAAAATTAGAGGTACAACGTCTTGGGCCTTATCAACCAAAAATTGTTCACTGGAACAATCCCATGACGGAGGAAAGCGTCGGCGTACATTCTGCGCAGAAACTTGGTATAAAAAACACGAATGGTTGTGTTACAGCGAGGACAAAAATGCACTTTTTTGTTTTTATTGCCTACTTTTGCTACCGCCCGTGACTCACGTTGGTGTAAATTTGGTTTTAGAGATCTTAAACATCTTTCCGAGCGTGCCAGGGATCATCAATCTTCTATGGAGCATCTGGACAATGCAGTAAAATACCGAACATTCGGAAATGTTAATATTGCAGCACAGTTGGATGAAGGACGCGCGGTTTCTATTCGTCGGCACAACCAAAACGTCGAGAAAAACCGCCATGTTCTCGGTCGATTGATAGATGTTTTGAAGTTCATCGGTTGTCACGAGCTGTCCCTCCGTGGGCACGATGAACGGGCTGACTCTTCTAATAGAGGGGTATTTTGGGATATGGTGGAATACACCGCATCCCTAGATACAGTATTGAGAGATCATCTTGATGCCGCAACTGTTTCGAAAGGGACATCTAAGGATATCCAAAATGATTTGCTCGACTCAATGTATAAAATTTATTTACAACATTTGGCTCTGGAAATTGAGAATTGCCAGTTCCTTTCGATTCAGTCTGACGAGCAAACTGACATCACGTGCGTTTCCCAACTGGCTGTGATTTTTCGGTTTGTGAAAGATGGTAAACCTACCGAGAGATTTCACAGCTTTGTACCAATCGTTGATCGTACGGCTTGCGGGATATCGGCTGTACTGAAAGAAGTGTTACAGCCTTACAACGCGAAGTCAAAATTGATAGCTCAAACCTATGACGGCGCGGCAGTCATGAGTGGGTCGAAACATGGTGTTCAAGTTTATATAAAAGAAGATTTTCCTCATGCGCATTTTTTACATTGTTATGCACACTAATTTAACCTCGTTATTAAAAATATGTGTCTTGATACCCCTCTCGTCCGTATATTTTTTGCAAATGTTTCGGGGTTTTCTTCATTTTTTTCCGCTTCGCTCCTCTGACCTCCTGACCTCTGACCTCCTACGCCAGATATGTAGCCGCCGTCTCCCAGCTTGTGCACCAACACGTTGAAACTTCCAATCACGCGTGGTGCAGGGCGTGTCCGAAATTAGGTCTGAGCTCATTGAGTGTTTCAATGGCATTCAGAGCTCTCCGGTTTGGGACGAACGCTCTGTGAGGGAGGCGGCAGGTCTAAAGCGTCTGCTAGAAGATGGTGAGTTTTCATTTTTTCTTGCTTTTTTCTCCACAATATTCTATCACGTGGATGTATTATACGGCGCATTGCAGTCAAGGCTAATGGATGGAGCGTCTGTGCAGTCGTGTATTTCAGACTTCTGCGATGCTGCATCTCGTATCCGGGAAACAATAAAATACGACGACACATGGAGTGCTTCTTTACGCCGCGGGCAAACAACGCAGCGTTTGATTTTGTCTGCAAAGGAATGCTGTGACATTCTGGTGAATCAAATAGGCGATCGTCTGCGCACTGAACACCTGGCCGCGTTCTCTTTGAAACCCCAAAAATTTTTCAAAATTTGAACGTCAATTTCCCATCCATTTGTTGGCTACTGTCTCCAAATTTTACCCCATGATAAACGTGGGTAAATTGGAAAATGAATTGCGATGTATATACACCAATCAAACTTTTTTAAACAGCACATCAACTTGCGCGCTCTATGGGTTCCTCATAGATAACACTCTAGTAACTACCTTTGAGGCGTCTGCAAAATTTCTGAACATCATTTTGACGACGCCTATTTCTTCCGCCGACGCAGAGCGAACATTCAGCACGCTGAAGCGTATTAAAACGTATCTCAGAAACACAATGAAGCAAGATAGATTAAATTCCTTGACTGTTTTATCCATTCACAGAGACGTTATTTGCATTATCTTTCCTTTCTTCATAGTAACGTTTTTAACCTTATTTTAGGTTTTGTCTCCTTCCCCGAAGTTTCTGTTAATATGTCATTGTATTTATCTGGGTAAATATTGCCTTTCCTTTTGAAAGAGGTTTCAAAATAAACTATGTCTATATTAATTAATCCCTTGACTTGGACCGGTTTTAAAGACACTTTATTATCGTTAAAAATAATGTCCCCGTAGATGGGGGTGACTTGGTCCCGCAGTAGCTTGCCCCGGTTGTCAAAATGACCACGCGCCGCCACTGTATAGAATACATATTAAACCATGCGTTTATTATTATGTCATCAATTTCAGGACTATGCGCACTGTATTACTTTGCATAACGTGAACTTACGAGACTGACAGACGTATCTTGTTGCTATAGAGCATGTCACACTGACCCATTTCTTGTTCTGAACACATGCACATTTTTCCGTACTACCACTAGGTACAATACCATTTACCCTGTATAATAATATTCAAACACTATTTTAAAAGTCAGATATTATTGTTTTTTAGCTTAGTTTTTGGAAAACACGTGTTTTTGGTCGTTTTCACTTTGAAAAATCTCAATGATATAACTTGACCATATAAGGTTATAACCGCATTTTGACAATCTCACCAATGATTAATATTTGTCCAATCAGTGTAACGGCTCCAATCACTCCATCTCCAGTTATTAGCTAAATACCTGAGACCCATAAGATAACATTCTGTCGTTGATCTGAGAAAAATGAATGGAAGATTGTTACAAAAGCAATCAATATGATTTTAGCCAATATTTTCGCGAAAACTTCTCTCAGGACGTTTAAAGTAATAGTCTGTTATTTTGATATAAATTTTGTTCAATAGGTGATTGATTACAAAATTTTACAAATAATATTTGAATGATAATTTTTTGTTAGAAATATAATGCCATCTGCGCAATGATACAATTGTATTTATTTTGTTTTCAATCCATTGTACTATCGATTATTATCTAATACAATGAATTTTTAATTACATAAAATTATCTGTTAATTCGTTGAACAGCTCATCAGTTTTGGGTTCAAACAACCATGCTCCTCTGATCGTGCATTGTTTTTCTGCGTCACTCGATGGTAATTCGGTGTCGAATCTTCCGAACAGATATCCATTGTAGAGAAGTTTGATTTCAGCTTAAAATAAATAACATTTAAATTATCAATACTCTGCACTAATATAGGAATTCTGAAGCTCACATTTCAATATTAAAAAAAATTCTTGGACTTCAAATGGTTTGGAGACAGGTGCATTTAAAATCCATGAGAAGAGGAAAATTATGCCACAAAAACATTAATACCGCAGTTGTCTCCTTTTGATTTTACATTTACTGGAATGCTTCTACTAACTTGTTGTGATTTCAAAACACATAGAAAACATTGCGTGCACTAACTATCTTTGATTCATTTGATTGCAAGGCAATGCATTCTCTACTCCAGAGTCAATCAAGTAACAGAATGTACAAATTGTAATCTCACGAGATTGACAAACATATCTTCTTGGAGTTGTAGAACAGATCACGCTAACCCATTTCTTGTTCAAAACACATGCACATTCTTGACCATTTTCGTTTGGTTCATTGGAATTTGACCTGTATAATAATATTTGAGTTTAAATTTATACTTATAAAGCCTTATACTATAATGTTAAATACAACGGGTAAATTGGACAAATATATTCTAAGCGTTTGCATACTTACAAAATCTTCACGCATCCTAAAACCCCGAGTATTGACCACGTGTATTTAAAATTTAATGAAATTTTTGAGATGTTGCTTTTTTCATTTTATCTAGCAACGATTCGTTCTAGTGGATTGTAGTTGTTTTTTAAATCAACCCTCCAATTATTTCATTAACAACAACTTTACAGATTATTCAATAATGGATCGTTGAAGTGGAGTATTTATATTAAAATATACTTTACTACAATTTTAACAATCTCACCAATGAGTATTTGTCGGCTTACTATAATCGCTCCATATCCACTCACCGCCAACCTTCTTGAGACCCATGAAATAATAACCCGACGACGGTCTGTTGAAAAATATATTCTACCATAAGCAAATCCATGTGAATTTATATTCATCGAACAAGGGTTATATCTGTCTCATAAACACGAAACCAGCCTACTTAAAAATAGTTGAAATCGTGGAAAAATTCTTTGGTATTCCCTTGTTTCGATTTTTAGTTTACTGATTCATGATAATGTTATCTACTATTTCGCGCTATTGAAATTTTTCAGAGTTAATAGAGTTAGCTCAAATACTGGTGGGTAACCATTTTTGAGTTTTATCTCAGTGTACCAAGATTTCAAGTCATTAAATTTAAATCACCATAAAAGTCTTTAATAAATAAAACTGTAAAATGAGTCAGTCAACTTTGAATATTAATATATCATATGTTAAAGATTGTTATATATTGAAGAAGTGCTTGAAAAAAGGTCGCCTGTCTAATGATGCATTCATTGTGGTTTTATCCTAAATTAGTTGCAAAATCAATTATTATCTATTATAATGAATATTTGCTCACATAAAGTTGTCTATTAATTCGTTGAACAGATCGTCGGTATTTGGTTCAAACAGCCACGCTCCTCTGACCGTGCATTCCCTTTCTGCGTCACTTAATAACTTTTCTGTGTCGAATCTTTCGAAAAGATATCCGTCATAAATTTTTGTTGCATCTAAAAATAAATACCAGTTATATGGGAGAGACTGTATTAATATATTATATCTGAAATGTGCATAAATTTTGTATCAATATAAAAACGACAATATCGGTCAGGGACCGAAGACTTATCGATCGAAAGTTAGGGGATCCCCAAAACAGCGCTTTTACTCCATAGTGACACCTTGTGTCCCATCACTAATTAATTATTAACTCGCTAATTATACGACATAATTCATCCAAAATCAATAGGCTTCTAGTACGACATATGATGAATGCACATGCAAAATCTAGAGCAGATTTAATATTGCTTTTGTGAGATATCGCGTACATCTAACAGACAGACAGACAAACTAACAGACAGACAAATACCTATCAACATACTTACCGATTAAAATCGATAAGAATGATGTGAATATTATAGTGAGAACCTGGTCTCAACAATAATCAATCGGCTTCAATTCCTAGGAGCTATGAATATTATACCCGTGTATTGTTGTTGATATGGAATATGAATTTTTCTTAATTCATTATAGCAAACGGCGGGTCGTAATTTGACAAACGAGTTATATACAAAAATATCGGGTTTTGAAGTTTGATTTGAAAAGTTTTAATTTCTGTATTTGTTTCCGTATTATAAATACTATATTTAAAAAAAAATGACCACTTTTCTTGTCTAAGTCTCGACAAAAAGGGTCACAGATTCTGTAATTTTATCATCACGTTTGTTCTTAACAGTGTCCTAATCTCTGAATTAAATACTTTCTATTGCAATTACTTATGATCTGGGCAAGCGACTTAAAGTAGATTCATAAATCTGTCTCGATGTCGAAATTCATCACACAAAATTATTTTGTTTAGGAGTTTAATGCTCAACTAATGTTCACAATAGTTCATCTTTATTACTCAAAAACCCCTTATTTTACTCAGATTTCTGTACAAATATCCAAACTCTAAATTGCTAATTAAATCGAGTATTGAAACGTCCAATTCGGAAAAATTATTAAAATTCTAAGTCAAGCCTTGCCACTGTACAATCAAGTCACTAATCAAGTTGAATGCGTGCCGGTCATAGTAATTGCTACAAACAACAGTAATGTAAATGATATCTTCGCGTCAACACGACCCATATATAGCTATAGCAGTAACTATCTATCAAACTTTCGCCATGCAACATTTATATTCGTTGCAAATCGTAATTCATCAAAGCCTTTTTGCTATTTGTTTTGAGGGCTTTAAGCATAGTCGAGTACAAGTCTATTTGTTTCAATTACTCATATAAAAGTACGCGTTTAGCAATTTTTGTTAACTCTAACTAAAACGAGCTCAAATGTTTTTCTTATGCCAAAGTAAATCATTTGTAATTCTACAGACTAGTCGACTAATCTGATACCACTTTGCTACTAACCTTGTATGAGGTGAATGTAAAAATAAACTCCGATACATACCTTGAGCCCTCACAGCCTTTAATATTGACGCAAATACAATGACACATGTCCAAGTTATCTTTGCCATTGTTAAATTTACACTAATTTGCATATAATCGTAATCTTCAGTCAAATATAACAGAAAAATTGTAAGTACAATATATATTTTTTTTAAATACACAAACTAAAGAGATCATTGTTAGTTTTTTAAGGCAACTTTTTTATGCTTTCTATTTGGGGTTTGTAACATCCTAACGCTTCACCAAAATAAGTAAATGAGCTGGCCGTTCAAAATGTATTCGAGCATCTTCAAGAAGCAGCAAAACATTTTTTCCGGTCATTCGAGAGAGTGCAATAAGGTTTGTTTCACGTTAATCAGTATTTCATAAAGTTTTTATTGACACTGAAATTTATTGTTCCAGATAATATTTCTTATAAAAAAATTTCTTATGTTTAATGATTGAATTATATGAACCGAACCCCATAAAATTACTGGTTCTCAAATAAAGTGCAATGTGTATCCTGGTTCATTGAGACAAAATCAGATGTTCAGTTTAAGCAAAACTACAGTAATAGGTATGGAAAACACCCATTCTCACGTTCTTCAGTTCGTTTATGGCACAAGAAATTTATGGGGACAGGGACAGTATTCAATGTAAGGAGGAGTGGGCGACCGAGAACATATGAAAAAAACATCGAGCGTGTAGGGCAAGCGGTTCAACGTTTCCCTATGAAGTCCAACCGTACTGCTGTCATACAATTGAAATTACCGAGTTCAACCGTGCACAAAGTCCTAAAACAAGAATTTATGATTGTATGCTTACAAAGTGCAAATGTTACAGGTACTTCAGCCAAACGACATGCCAGCAGCGAAAAGAATTTGCAGTGAACATGCTGCTTCGTGCAACTAATGATGCCCATATACAAGTGTATCAAATAGAGTAATGGTAATTTTAATTAAATGTTTAGAAGTATATAAAATGTGTCAATGAAAACTTTAGGAAATACTGAATAACATAAAACAATCGCCGTTGCGATATCTCATCATCTCACTTTGTATTATTTTTTTTTTAATTGTAAAGAGACTTCATGTACATTCTGTATATAAATTTATATTTGATAATTTAATTTAGTAAATGGTTTCTAAGGCATAAAATTGCTAGTTTGGTATCTTTACTAATTGCTTGAGAATCCTGTACGACAGATAATATTATATTGAAAAATAAGCTCAGTTAATAATAAGCTAATTCAAAGCAATTCAAATCAAATAATGATACTAATATATGAAGGATTGTTTTGAATAGAAGAGTAATTACCAATTTATTAAAATATCTGCTGTACAAAACATACCTGCATCTGCTTTAAATGGATTGAACAATTACCTTCTCAACATTTTATTTTTTATTAAATAATGTTATCCTCATTGATAATATTAAACTAATTTTCACTCTCAAAATTACATCCATATTATTATCAATTTATTTTTACTTTGTGTAGTTGCTTTCAAATACCTTACCTTACGATTCACTGTTTGAAAAATGGTTCAAATAGCCCCATGTATTAGAATGTGGTTTTGGTTCTTGCAGCATGAAATTTATAGCAACCTATACATCTTTAATCATATTTGTTTCTAAAAATTCAACTCATTTAACGTAGACAGAGATAAAGAGAAAGATCCAATTCATAAAATCTTTTAAACTTTGAAATTCTGATCTTTCACCATACTACAGTCAAACGTTACTGACGGTGTTTAACTTTTATACTGCACTCATACTGTTTGATACAATAAAGAATGGAGGTTCCGGAATTCACATTGCTAAGTGAAACACATCGATCGGTAAATAATAAATATTTGCTCAAGGTTTTCTGTGTAAATTTCGTAGTGTGTATATCTTTATCTTTTTACCGATACAAAATCTCAATGGTGAACACTAAACTGCAATTTGTCGTTTGTAACATTTTATAAATTTGAAGTTTATTTTTGTTATAGTTTGTTATAGTTAAGCAATATATATCTAATTAACTCATTCAATCAACATATATATATATTTAAACTGAGAAAATACGAAGCAATATTGAGGATGAAAAAATATGATATTCTTAAATAAGTGTGATAAACAAATTATTCTGAATATCCGAATGGGATTTCGTTAAATTTCTACTCAAGCTATCCACGGCTGCTAATACAAATTCTCCTTTTCGTCGATGAAGTTATAGAATATATATAAATATTTTTCAAGCCCTTCATCGCCACCGTGCGCATGTATGTATTTTGATGACTGACAATTGTTCAATTAATTAAATACAATCAGAAGAGAAGCCATATTAATATTTCACATGATGATGTATCTCACATGTTGATACTAGCATAAATTACCACTCAAAGATTTTCGGTTTAGTATATATTTTCTTTTTTTGACTTTCAATTATATACCCTCAAGTACACCAGAGAATGAAATATTGCACAGTTAACATTGATTTCAGATTGCTAAGAACTTCTCAATTTCTCATTTTGTTATACATTAAATTTTGCTACAGTATGTCCACTGCTACCAGTCCACTGTATTTGTAATTCATTACATGCGGAAAAATAATTTCCAAATAGAGTTTATAATAAGTAATACGTATGTCTTAAGTTTCTTCTCAATGCGTGTAACGCAGGGTGGCCCAAGGTTGCAAGATTAACGGGCCGCAAACAATTTTTAAGAGGCCTTGCTGGCCGCAATCGGGAAAACCCCGATGTGATCATATTACTGTGATTTTAGTGACTTTTAATTATATCAAAGAATGAAAATACCGTTATTGTTATGTTGCATGATTGGCGTTTCTATATTTTAATGAAGAAATATAAAGCACAAACAAAATAACGAAGCAATTTATTGTTTCTTGCTTTGGTTTTCTTCTTCAGATCTGCGTTTCGTCACTGCTGCCCCCTGCACCTTCTCATCACGCCCACAGTTATATGAAAGTAGTAGGCAACTAATGAAATATTGTTCGTACTTAGATGAAATAGTTCAATTTGATATTTTAATGGAAGTAAACTCAGAATGATAATAAACTAAATTTTCTCCGTAAATGTGAAATAAATGGGTATAATCTGATTCAAATTACTAATCACAATTTTATAAATTATGAATGATTTACAAACTTTTTTTAAGAAATTAAAGTATAAGTATTGCGGTATTGATAAAAATCCCATGTCCTAGAAGTTTCAATTTTAAAGAGCTTTATTATTTTACTGACCGATTAAATCGTTTATATTACAATTGCTAGTAAAAGAATGTTGAAACTCCGTGTTTATTTTGTTACAACACATTTTTATGCAAAGTAAGATTTGCTCAAATGGCGCACTCGTGGAGTCATTGAACTGATTGAACTAATTTCAGCTGTTAAATTGGAAGCAAGCAGTCGCATACTCATAAAAATCTATCCACGAAATCTCATATGACGATATTTGTTACAAGTTTTTATGTATCAGTATATTTTTCTCTGAACGTTATGAATGAGATTTGTCAACTTCCCTTTCAATTGCGTTTTACTACGATACGTTCAATATCTTGTTGGGAATTTTTAATTAAAACCGACTCGAGCTTTATAACCGGTCAACAAATTGTTTTATATTGCCCATTTACCATCAATGTTCTTTAGTTTAAGTCTCTGTGTTACAAGTTTCAACGAGCCTGCTAATGCTTCACGTCACTACTTTAGTATGAAAGGTAATGCTATTTCATGTGCGTATTTTGTTCTTTAAGTATGGATGCTATTAATATTTATGCATGATAGCCTACTTAAAGCTAATGGAAAGCGAGTCTATATTAGAATGAAAGAGTATATAAAGAGAAATTGCAAGAATATGATCGCGGTGACCGATTAACGAGAATATCGGTCAGAGACCGGCGGTTTCGATCCATGACTCTATAGTGACACCGCCCGTCTCATCACTAATTAATTTATACCTCGCTAACTAAACGACATAATTCATCCAAAATCAATAGGCTTCTGCATGATGAATGCACATTCAAAATTTGGAGCAGATTCAACCACGCCTTCGTGAGATATTGCGTGCATCTAACAAACAAACAGACAGACAAACAGACAAATACCTATCAACATACTTACCGATCTAAAGATCGATAAGTAATAACCTACCGTTTACCTATGCACAATCTGGAGTTATAAATGTAAAATTAGCAGTCCATCAATCGACTGCTTGTCTCAGTGTTCAGGATTTATACATTTCAACGTTCTAACTTACTATCAGTTCATGTAATGAAATGCCATATAACGAAGACTACAATTAATTACAACTTATCTCACTTGTACTCCATTACGCTAAATATTCAATATATACTGGCGCCTACAGTTTCGAAGCATGATCCTATAACAAGGATCTTTTATTATCAACATATAATGAATTTCATTCACTTCTGTGGAGTTCGTATAACATTTCATGGAAAATAATATTATAAACTTGACATTATCTTAACCAATATCCACCACCACGATATTGAATTTTCAACAAAACATAACTTAGAGGCGTTTATTGCATACTCGAGGCATTTTTGTAACAATTCGTCAATATGACCATGGAACAGAATGTCGAAACCGAGAATATTTTAAATTTAAATTGTTGAACTGTTTTTGTTTACAATTCGTGTATAGTGAAGTATCCGTTGCATAGTTACCTTATTTCGTTCCCTAGAAAAATAGAAACTTATTATTATTATAACATTGAAAATACATAAATGAATTGATTTGAATAAATCCTTATAGGCGTTGATAAAAAAAAATTCTTATATTGAAAAAAATATATATCCAATTATTGAATAATATTGTATTTAATATTCATACCATATTTTTCAAAAACCACGAATTTTGTTGTAATTATGCATAATTAATAAAGCGAATGAGAAGAACTAGAACAAACATCATTGGACAAATTAATGCCGACCAAGAAACAAAATTTAAAGTTCTTTAGCCAAAATAGGTTTTATGAATTTATAATTCAAAATTGAACTTTATTTTAACAATATTTTTGCTGCTTTATAATCTAAAATTTCCCTATATTTAAAATTCGATTGCTCAAGCAAATGTATGCTAACACAAATATTGTTCAAGTGAACTTCATAAAATATATAATTGTTTGATATAAGTTTCAGCCACATATTAAAATTATCAGAAGAACTTCAAGCATCATTCGTATCTTGATTCTGCAAAACAACATTTTCATTTCCAACTCCAGGTATTGTAGAATATATATGTTGCTGATCTATGAATTTAAATTTTGTTGCTAACGTTTACCTGAATAGTATCGTGAAATTATATGATTTTCCATGTGTCATATAAAAACAAATATAATTTTGAATTTTTGAAACTGTGTATAAATATAAATCAAATTTTTGTGTACTTGTTTGCTTTTGCAGTATAGCAATATTTGAATAAAATATTTTTAATTTTTATTTTAGTTCAGTAATGAATTAATTTCTAAAATCCAAGACAAATATTTCCTATTCATTTACACATAAATAGTGGTATCGTACATAATACTTTTGCCTGAATAACAAATGATCGACATTTGGAATTCAACATTGTCAAATCCACAAATTGGATGTCATTTCATTTATATTTATTGTATAGATTGATATATACATAAATAATTTTTGTATCATACCTGTATCCTTATCTTTTACTGATGATATATTGTGATGTTCAGCTGTTTGATACCCCGTAGTTTCATAAAGGTCATTATGATCCCTTGAGGTACTCTTTGAACGTGTCGACGATTCTCTATTTTCAGATTGATGTCGACGTTTCGTGTAAAAAATTGCACCAACCACTAGAGTAGCTAGAGCAATTATACCCACCACAACACCAGCTATCCATGTCTTATCTGTAATAAATAAATTAGATGTTACATTTTTTATATGCAGTATAAAAGCAACTAGTGCAGGGGTTCTCAAACTTTTGGTGTTGCGGAGCCTTCGAAGTGGTTGACTATTATTCACGGAGCCCCAAAATAAATTTTAAAATTGTTACTTTCCGATTAATATTACTGAGTAAGTTAAAAGTACTTTACTTCATTTAATTGCTAAACCTTTTTTAATAGGGTTAATACAAGTCATAAATAAATCTAAATTTTAAAGATAAATTATACCTATTAAGGCTGTAAATTTGACACTTAACAAACATATTAATAAATTAGGGGTCGAATCTTTTCCCTTTTGATGTTTTTGGAAGACTTAAAGGATCGCTAATAACGTTCGCGATTGCATTTTGTTACAACCGATTGTTTTCGTCAGAGTGACGTGCTTTTCAAACCCCAAACATCCTAATGTCTGTGTTTATTCTCCCTCCCTAAATCTAAATTTCCTTCGGCATATATATGTATTGTTCCACAATGACGACAATAATTGCTTTTTTGTTCTCGTGGGGAATTATGAGTTCAATGTGAAAAACATGTTATTTAAAAATAGGTAAATCCGCAACTCAAATTTCTTGATTGAAAAGCGGAATTATGAAATATATATTGAAACTAAAACTTAAAACGAAAGATACCACTATCAGTTTTGTTTCTGCAGATTCGTGACAGATTAAAAACGCTTTTTTAGTCGTTGTAATCACAAAATTTGGTGTTATGTTAGGTTTTCTTTGGTTATCCATCGTAGTAACTAAAATCGAAACACAGTCAATTGTGCGCGTGATGTGATGTAGCTACCTGCAATAAAATAAATTTCAATCTTCGTATTTTGCCCAGACCTTGTGGATTTTTTAAACGGCGATATCTTGCAAAGAATCGGAGTGGCGGACCTGCGATGGGGCGGAGTTAGTGTTGAAAAAATGGCTCAAATTTGTCAAATTCGCTATAATCTGCCGCTCTATCTGTCATGATTACGATTTAATCAGGACGGGCACAAATATCTTATCAGACTACTGGCTCCAGTAGTAGGTATGTTCTTTTGTGGACAATATATATATATGACTTTGCTTCTAATATCTTATGATAACAGCGTCGTTCAGGATAAACGGTATTCCAGAAGAACTTCGTTCACTTAACTTCGTTTCATTGTTTCTCATTTCATGTCCGCGGATTGTCGTGGTAATTTGAGAAGTAATGATTTTTATTGTCGTGAGTCGGCACAACTGCAGGTTACATTGAACCCAATTAAACCAATAAACAAGTCATTTCAAAACGCCCGCATCGGTCATGGGTTGCACAATTGTAAATTGTACTCATTGAGTTTTAACGCCGACCTGGTGATTTTTGAAACGGCGATATCTCGCATAATAATAATCTCGAGTGCGAAAGAACAAATCATATTTGACAAATCCCTAAAATACGATTTCATTTTATTTATAGTTGACAGTTTATCACGTATTTTATGGTATTTTAGAATAGTAAACCTTCTTTTCAGTAATCTCGAATCAAACGTGAGTAACGATGAGTACCATTAAATTATTATGATAAGACATTTTAAATGCTCGCATCATTCATGGATTGAATATTTTACGCAGCAAAAATCTCGTTATCCGCTGAAAATTTTTTTTTATTCTAGAAGAGTGTTCCGCGGAAATTTCCGACTTCAATATTGAACCCCCCTCCCTCTCAAAAATCCTGGCTGCGCTCCTGCTTATAAATAATTTTTGAATTCCGCCTCTATGCCATATTTCGTGGCTATATTGAACAATTACAAAATTAGCCAAGTCAGTATTTTGAAAAGTAATCGAATAGCCCGCGGAGCCCCTAGGTTTCTCTCGCGGAGCCCTGGGGCTCCGTACGGAGCACTTTGAGAACCTATGAACTAGTGGATTAAATTAGTAAATGATACGATTGAAGGTTTTTCACATTTTTTTATTGTAAGAGTATAATCAATGGCACCTGTTTCTGGATTAGAATTCCCATTTTCAAATTCTATTACAAAGCTTTGTTGAAACAATACCATTTCTTCTCCATTTGGACTTGTAGTTACAACGTAAGTACTGGAATAGAAATTTAGGTGACTATTTTATCACTATATACAAGTGTCTTTTTATGTCGTTTTATACATATTCCTTCACCAGATTAACAATATACATTTTTAAATATTCAAAAGTACGCTCCATCTGCATTTGTTGATAACTAAGACAGATATATGACATTACCTATAAATGTTTCCCATTTGAAGTGGCCAGTTTTTCGCACCATATTAATTAATGTTATTTTTCTTGTCGGTTTCCGTGACATCACAGTCACTGACAGTTTCGTCGCCGAGTTTCACAGTTACCGATTCTTCTGAAAACTCAGATCTGCATATAGAGTGATAAATATTTGAGCATAAACATATATATAGAATTAAATTTGAAATAAAGAATCTTAGACTTCAATATTATTTTAATAATGTATAAGGAATTCTGAAAAAATATTTTATGTTATTATTGCTACCAAAGTCTAACCTTCTTATCGCTACAGCTAAATATTCTTCCCCTTTTGGAGTTTCATCTTTCAATGCTGCTGTAGATACTTCTCGAAGTTTAACAATATCGAATATTTCATTGGTATCAATGGGTCCATTTTTGACAACGACGAATACGCAACTGAAAAATTAAATAATTTTCGGTGCTCCAGAAGTATGTGCACCAAGATGATGTACAACTTGAACTCTAACCTGGTACACATACTATGTTCAGGTTGTGTGCCATCGTGGTGCACATACTTTGGGAGCACCATATTTTCTATATATCTATGGCTCTTATCAACTTGACGTCATGTATAAACCTCTTCCCTTTGTTTATTGTCGTTTACAATATCAGGTTAAAACAGGTACATGAACTAATGATTCATTGAACTAATGGTTTATTTTTCTTGTTCGATTGAACCTATATAAATATTACGATTTAATTGGAATAAATGATATTTAAGATTCCAACGAATTGAGCTTCATTTACCTTATGGGCCCGTTAATTTCATTTGGTAAAATTATTTCCATGTCTTTAGTTGAACCTGGCGTTCGCATTATCGCTTAGTTCTGCGATACAGTCAGTCAGGCAAGCAGTTATCTGAAGAGAACAAAGTATTTATACTCATTCTGTTGGAACCAGAATTTCTATATCTTCATATTTATATATCTATATCTTATAAAAGAAGTATACAATAATATAACTTTCTTAAAATCTTACTGTATTTCGTACCATAATATGGTATTGTGAATCCGGATACAAATCTTCGATGATCAAATTTTGGACATGGTTATCAATTGGAAAAATTTCACTATAATTTTCCATGCTTCTGATAAATTCAGGAAAATGATTTTATATCTGTATGTAAATGAGCTATCGTTATGGTAGGTTTAAACAAAATTATAGATAGGAATTGAAAAGGCAATAGTTTTCAAATATATATGCACATATACGAGGTAAGGCTAAAAAGAAACGGGACTGACGTCACAGATTGCGGTAATCAACACTTTTACAGTGTGGCGTAACATGTGTTCTTTGTTAAACAGCTGTTTTGACACAATATCGCAATTATTTTTGCTTTTTAGGATCCATAGGTGAATGTGATTAACTGCTTGTTGAAAAAAATTGCCATGCGAGATCTGATTGAGTTTTTTGGCAATAGGGGGTTCATTTAAAGAATGACGACTGAGCAAAGAATTATCATTAAATTTTGTCAAACTTGGAAAAACGGCGACTGAGACTTTGCAGATGTTGCGGAATGTTTACGGAGATTCTTCCATGTCCAGAACAAGAGTTTTTGAATAGCACAAGCGATTTGTGGAAGGCAGGGAGGATGTGGAGGATGATCCGAGGTCAGGGAGGTCTTGCACTTCCACTACTGATACCAACATCGAAAAGGTTTGGCAGTTGGTTCGCAGTGACCGTCGCTTAACAATTCGCGTCATTGCCAACGAAATTGGGATGGACAAAGAAACGGTCCGCACCATTTTGGTTTGACACTTTGGGAATGCGAAAGGTGTGTGCCAAAATGATGCCAAAGGCTCTTGAGTTGACTGAGGAGCAGAAAGCTCAACGATTGAATGCATGCCGAGTTGACATGCATTTTTCCAAGTTTGACACAAAATTTAATGTTAATTCTTTGCTCAATCGTCATTTTTTCACAGCATTTTTTTTTCAACAGGAAATTTATCACATTCACTTATGGATCCTGAAAAGCAAAAATAATTGCGACATTGTGTCAAAACAGCTGTTAAACAAAGAACACATATTACGCCACACTGTAAAAGTGTTGATTACCGATGGTTAATCGTGTTGCGCAATCTGTGACGTCAGTCCCGTTTCATTTGCAGTATTATTGCAAATCAACCATAAATTAAATGCATGTGTATTACAGTTATGGTATAATTATTAGCATCAACATATTCAGCGTGTTGAATGGGTTGCAAGGGAATTCACGCGGTCAAAAATGTAGTTGTTAATGCTCCATTGAAACCTCTCTCAACTATGCGGCTTCCAGGTTACATTAATTTTTCCATTGTTTGCACACAGGCACTGATAATTTCTGGTGTTGCATATTCTGAAATATCGATAATACAGCTTTATGAAAACAAGTAATGAGTCAAGATACTTTGAAAATACTTGCCATACCAATTTCACATAAATTTCCGCTGTATCCTTGAACAAAAATACATTCAAAAATGATTTGAAGAATGGAATTGACTGACAAGTTCCACCACTTAATAACGAATTTGGTGAGTATTTTAAAAATATATGTATATTGAATATATTGTAAACAATCCATTAAATTCGAGTTATCTAACAAGATATCGTATCTTTCCTGATGGCAGATGATATAATAGAAGATTTTGAAAGTATTTTGTCTTCTCTCGTTTGTCACATGATATAGAAGCAATGTCTTAAATCCTTACTTTTTACTTATAAATTGACTTTATGTATGTGACACAGTAACGTTTATTATGAAAATTAAGTTTCTTTGCATACCGACATAGAAACAATAAATGAATCGTACAAATGCATTTTGACAACCATTTAATCAAACATGCCCCAGCATTGAAGAAAAATATAAAATAAACAAAATTCAATGTACCATTTAAACTGGGAATTATGACAAATACTAAAGACATATTATTCAGCTATTTCACACCATTTTGGACAGTTATAGGAGAATTCGCCGCAGGAAATTTCCCCGTAGGAAATCTCGCCGTAGTAAATTTCGCAGCGTAAGAAATATCGCCTCAAGAGCATTTCGCTGTAAAACAAGTATTTGTGTTAAAAACATTTGGGTTTTTGACGATTTTTTGTTATTTAAGAGCATGTTCAAACCTTAACCCTATAAATCTAACTGTTTTTATCACAAATACTTGTTTTACAGCAAAATGCTTTTGAGGCAATTTTTGAAGCAGCAAATTTACCTATGCGGAGAAATTTCCTGCGGTGAAATTTTCGGACATGTTTTGAAACATTGACCCCTTTATAATAGCAAATATTAAATACGTTTTCAAAGAGATTTTCGATTGGTTTAAAAAAATCTAGTTAATCTAAGTTAATTAAAGCAATACTCACGGTCCTCTGAGCAAATATCACCAACATATCCTTCTGCACAGTCACATTTCAAATAAGGATATGCACCCTACTCCATTTAGACACGGATTATCATTGTGCACGCAATAGTCCGTAAAGTAAAATCATCTTGCGGGTGTATTTCTTATTCAATATGGGCACAATAATATTTTTATTAATAAACCCCTAATCTTGGACGCATGTCTGCACCGCTATGAACCGTTATCCAGCTATTGCCTCTGACGTTGTTCATGACATAACAATGCAGCCGATATGTTCATTTGTCGCTACGTCCGGTCTCTTTCGGTAGTTCGTCGCAGACTGTTTTAGAGGTTATGCGAGAACTGGATGCTACTTTGTATTTTATTAGTTTCTCGCCTACGATGCCGTTAAGATGCCGTATTAGTATTCATATATGGTTAAGAGAACAAGATCTTTCAGATTTGAAATAAAAGCCTAGAAATCTGAAATAACAATGGGGCAGTGTAAAAGTGCCTTAATGTGGTTGAAAGCTGAACGAAAATAGAACACTATCAGAGTGGAATTCCCTCCAAACTCTTTGGAATCGTAAAATAGTTTGCTGCATCATCCGAAACATTTTTGGTAAATCATATGCGTGTTTTCGTACTCTAATTTAATAAAATCGCGTGTCATAACAAGTCTCTAATAGAAGTGCTGCATAAGCAAAGCCCAAACGTACGCCAACAGAAGCTTATAAGATTTGTTTCAGAAGTTTCTTATAGATAAAAAAAATTGATCAAATATCTGTGACCCACTCTCTTCTGTTCCGCGATAAAAATGTAATTTTTGACCCATTCATGGGAAAAGGTTCGCTATCCTGTTATATAGCAATGATAACATTTTCAGCATAACCTGATCACTGCAGGAAAATGTGAAAAAAAAAAGCGCAAAATACATTATTCAATCAATTTGAATATCATATGAAACAATCGTTAAATTTACTGACATATATATCTATAAAAATCACTCTTATTGTATGTATGGAGAGAATGTATTTATCGCAATAAAATAGATCGGACCTGCGTGGTAACTCAATTAATTGCATCTCCCGTTCGTCGGGATGAAGCTCCGATTGAGATTCAACAATACTAATAACACGAATATTGCGTATTTATAAGAAATATACATAATAGAGTAAGTTTCAATGGCATTTCTACTTTTATCCGCATATTCAAAGTTTGCTACATGAAATCAATGTTCTTCAGTTTATTATGTATTTTAGTTGCAGTTTTAAATTTTCTGAATGTTACTTTTGAGTCAAATGAGAAATGATCCGAGGTGTGTTCAAAACCACTATTAGTTGTTAAAATGTGATTAATATCATCATCTCTAGACAGATGACTAATGTTGAATCATAAAAGAAAGCGATAACAAACCCTTCGAAATATTTATATATATCTCTGTCTGTCCATTCAAATAAACCGGAAATAATTAATTTTGTTACTCACCATCTCCAGAACAGATGTCGTCAAAATATCCAGACATGGAAGTACATTTATAATATGGATCTGTTTCTGGCATATTTTCGCAGCTTGCTCCATTTTGACACGTATTTCCATTGTTGGGGCAGTATTCTGAAATTGTTATGTGACTTAACATTAACCTTATTCGTGCAATCATTCGTTTTTTATAATTTTACATATTGTCAACAGTTGAGATATTCATCTCATTTTACTCACAAAATGTGAATTTGTTAAGAATAACTCTGTTTAGTGAAGGAATTTTATGAGGTAACGAAAATATCTACTTTGCATAGATTTTAATAAAAAAATAAGCGTAACAACATAGTTTCAGTAAGATATAGTTTTATGAATTGTATGTATGTTTGTATTGTGAGTTATTCGTGTGTATCAATTTCAATTTAGAATGTAGTCTGTTACCAACGATTGACAGAAACCGGTATTACCGTTGTACAGGGTTGTGCAATCTTTTTCGCAGGCGGGTCAGATATCATAATCCTGGTAAAACCGCGGGCCGCACCTCTATTTAACATGGGATTTCTATTAGTTGCAGGCACAAAATAGTGTCTTTTTGTTAATATGACCTTATGTCATAGGTTTTTTTGCAGAAATGATGAGTTAAAACGTATAATTTTATGAAAACTGCTTTTTCAAATTTATTTTCACACCGAATTTAAACAAATTCAGGAAAATACTTGCTGCTGGAGTCTTTTCCCGACTACTTTCATCCAAATTTGCTTCAATGGAAGTGCTAGCAATTCAATATACATTGTCAAGTCTTCGTCTTCCAGGCGATTTTATGACGCCCATTTCAAATGAATATATATATGTTAGGCCGAAAAGTGCCATATTGGAAGCCATAACTTTTTAAAATGTGGAAAGTTATCTTGGTTGGGATGTTTTCGGTAAAAATTGCCAAGTTCATTTCCAAATAATTTGCTGTCAAATCTTATTCTAGATTAAATTTAAACAAAACCACCTGATAGGCTG